TTGTAACAATAATATTTATTTTATCATCTTATTTGCATGTCGATCAAAAATAAATTCTAATTTTGTATCATAACAAAATGATACCTGTCCGATAAATTTCCTATTAAAAACCGTCATAAAACTTTTGACATAAATTTCCATTTATAAAAATCCATCTTTGAATAACAGACTGGTAAATATTTGCATTGATTCACCAGTTGTCTATAGTGAAAAATTAAAAAGAGAAACAACAAGTGGTCGAGGGTGGCAAGAAATGTGTACAAGAATGAATAACGGAAAGTGATATAGTAGTATCCAACGAGTATACTGAACGCTGTTCCACAGTGAGTACATAAGAAAAAGAGAGAAAAAGGTATATAAATAAAGAGGAAATATATCGGAGGGTGCCCGGGGCTTTTTGGGAGCGAGTCGAAAGTACAGAGTGGGGTAATGGTACCATATGAGGGGATTAAGGGTATACCAAGGGCTCTAAGAGGAAAGAGAGAAAGGGGGAGGTTAAAAACCATCTGCCCGCATACGTTATCCCCCACGAGGGACACTGACGCACACTTACATGTACAGAAATCGCTTGAGCAATACTAGGAACTAAGTTTATTATATTGGCTTGTAAAATTACAATTAAAATGAAAACACTGATGTTGATTACACCTTTCACTTTGAAGAAAAAAAATTTAATTATTTTTAAACTTTTGTAATTTTTTTTTTAAATAAACTGTTCAACATTTGTTACTCTAATGCATTGGATCGTTTATCTAAAGATGAACATTGCAAAAGATAATGAAATAAAAAGAAGTAATGGTAAATAGTGTATGAGACAGTGTCCTTTTAAACTATTTGACGTTGAAAGAGTGTCTAGTAAAGAATTGACAATTATCGTATTGTCCTTCTTACGTGGAGAAGTAGTGGTTTCAACCTAAACATCAGAGAGTGTCTAAAAGAGGCAGCTGGCTTCTGAATCAGATGCTCGAAGCACGCTTCATTCTTCGGCTTTTCTTGCTTATTTACTTTCCTTTTCTCTCTCCCATTTCCCTCCAATCTTTCTCTTCTCTTTTACATTGACGCGTGCTCACAAACACCATCTCATATGAGAGCCCTACTCTCTCACTTCTACTCATATATCTTCGTCTCGCATAATGCAATCAACAACGAGTTGGACAAGGACGATATTTGGTCACGCTTTGGCCACGCGACTCCATGTTCTCAGCAAACATTCATATACTAACTATATTCCTTACCGTTTGGAAATTCTTTTATTATCAAATTTATCATATCGGAGAGATTAAAATTATTGTTTGCGTAAGGGAAAAAATTTTTTGCTATATCTCTAACTGGTAGTTTATACCTCAACAGTTTTTAGAAATCTTTTTTTTTATTAAAATTTAATTCTACACTTAAATCAAATTTTTCTATTATAATAACAATTAAAAATAAATTTTAAACAATTGTTTGGTTAAAATATGAATATAAATCAATTCATGCGAACGTTTTAATCGAAGAGAAAATACTTTTGGATTTTTATTTTATTTAGTTTAATTTTAATGAATTATTAAAATTTTATTTCTCTATAATAATAAATATAATAATAATAATAATTATTATTATTAATAAGAATATATTGATTAATATAACGAAATCAAACTCTTGATTTTACGATGAAAATAAAAAATATTTCAGCCCCTCAACCACATGTGTATCCAACGAAAGAAATTCCCACTTTATTTTCTTACCCACCGACTTTGAAAATGTTTTTGCGCAATAGAGTGAATTATAACCAAGTTGCAATCAGGTATAATAATTTAGTACATTGTATAGGCGAGCGATTCTCCAAGGGCCATATAACGAATTTGACTGAAATCACAAGCTCACAAACACAATGATAGTGAATGAGAGGGTGTTTCAGTAAAAATAAGGGGAGTAGAATGACCTTTTTCAAAATTGAATAGAGAGTACCTACATATATACATCTATAGATGTGTCCTATGATCGAGTGAGACAAAATGAGCAGGTCATATATGTTGGATACGGTAGTGGCCGAGGTGAAGGAGAAAGCGACAGGATGGTGTAACAGAAGTACGTAGACATTGGTCGTGCACACGTGCACGGGCACGCGCCCTGACAAAGGACCCGCACCGGTACACCCTCTCTTTTTCTTCGCCTCTCTCTCCTTTTATCCACACACACATTTTCCCCCTCGGTCCCGTTTTTCACGAGTGACCTGACACCCTTTACATACTTGGACTATCAGTACAAATATGCCTACAATCCAATCGATTGATGCTTCTATTATTATTATGCACTTCTATTTCATCTCTTGACACATTTTATTCTGATCTGCTCCTTTCATATTTCAGAAAGGTTATTTATTTTATTAATAAAATACAATCGACGTAGGAAACGACCTTATGAACATCAAAATAATACTGTATTTAATAATTGACCTGCAACAAATTAAAATACAATATTATTGCAGTAATTTATTTTAGTGATTAACAAATAAATGTTACAACAATTAATCATTACTCAATTACTGAAAAATTATCAATTAATTGTACTATATTTAATTATTAAACAGTTATTCTAATGAATTAACTCTTCCACACTTTGTTGATAATTCATTTGAAATTTTTTTCTCATCTGTCCATCCATTATAATAATTATCATCCACATGTTCCTCTTCTCATTTTAATTTTTGTCCTGTATATGATAATAAGATCCATCCCTCAATTAAAATTCTGTTCAGTCTCCACCAAATATCTATATATATATATTTATACCAGTGGCATGGTCTAGATTTGGTTCAAATAAAAACTAGGACGTTATATAGACGATCAAAAACCTTCAAATACTTTAGACTCACTCATCCACCGTTCCCTACTCTTTACTCCGGTTTTTCTTTTTAATGTTAATCGTTGGGGTAAAATTTTGATTTATGCGAACTACCCCATCTTTTTCTATTGTGGTGTACAGTCTGATCTAATTAAAAAAAAAGAAGAGAAAATAAGAGAAAGGGCAAGAGACCGCATTATCAGGGTGCTAGTGAATAAATTGTCGTTTAACCAGTAAGGCTAGTAAGTGTGCTTTATTCTCTTTCGATCAGCATAACATAAAACTCGTTTATTATGTATAAAAAATAAGCTAAGGATTTTTTAAATTCAAAATTATATTATTTGAGAGCATAAGCCTCCAATTAATTCAATTTTTTTGTTATTGTTATTTTTAAAATTTACATTCGGTTTATCAAAGAAAGTCGTTATGTTAAACATTTTTCAATTTGTGAGCAATAAATCTACATGAATCAAATTTTATAGTAATTTTTTACTGTAAATTGACTAGTAAAAATTACTATGAAATTTTCGTCGTATAGTATTAATATTATGTGATCATTTATTGGCAAAAACCACCGGAACTTGAGAATTCACGATCCGAACACTCGTTATCTCCGCCCCGTAACACGAAACTTCCGTGTTAAAATAAGTTTTTCTCCCATCCCGCCCATCGTTGAGGATTTTTTAAAAAAGGATAAAATAATAGAAAGTGCGGATACGACTCCGGATATAATATCTCTTAGATTTTCATTTAGATTCCATATTTCATATATTTTTTTTTTTATTGGTAAGAATAGAGTGTGATTGGTTGGCAAAATCAGTTGAGATTTTTATTGAATGAAAGATAATATTGGAACATCTGGAAATGTCTTTCTTTCATGATAAAATTTTTATTGGGATATATAAACTTAATAGTGTACATGTGTGTTCATGTCAAAATTGTAATTTAAAATCTTCAATTGGGAAGTTGGAAAAAAAGAACAAAATTAAAAGCAAGATTTACGAATCTATGTACCGAAAATGCAAATGCAAAAACGCACATTTATTCAGACTATTATCCTAACAGCGGATCTCCTCCTCCAGGCTAATCTTAAATCAACGCTTTTCAGAACCATGCTGATCATAATGCCAAAAAGATCTCTTCTATATAAACTCTAACATTTTATTTTTGTTTGTGTCTTTTGTTCCCATGTATTTGTTTTGATTATAAATTCCTACTTTCAATCTACTGCAGTTAAAACTATTAATTTTACAGCAAAAAATAAATCATAAAAAAATATTCCTCAAGTGTAATGATGATTTGAATTCTCTAAAAAATGAAGATATAAAGTAGACTTTAGTAGATAGATATTCTCATCAATACAGCTTATAAAATGGTGTATATACATGCTAGAAATATATGGTATTTATATTATAAGAGTGTATTATAATAGTATATAAAGTACGTCAGATCCCCACACATAGCATTGCCATATGGCTCGCGTGGACGGCATCATCATCAAGCATCAGCAAGCTCCACTACTACCATCAACACTCTACCACCCTAAGAAGTTTCCGGAGGCCGGCAAGGGAGAAAGCCACGCATACTCGCACATGAAGGGGGCTGGTGTGCGACGCGGCGCGTGCTCGAAATCCCCCACTACTCACGTCCTCCCTTAAGTGCTTCTCTGGTATGGTATATGTTCACCATGACGATACCGAAACCATCTCTCTATCGTATATACCCGCTCATTCTGAATGTAGACGCCATGCGGGGCGTAGCACGCGACAAGTTTCAATTTTTTGCCAGAAATCGCAAATATATTTACATGCTTTGAAATTCAAGTTAAGTGTTGGTGAAGTCGAATTTTGTTTCGATTGATTAATTGATGATAGTTATAACCAGTTCTGTTGATGTATATTGGAAATATATAAATAGTGCGTTTCAATAAGTGGTGAAATTTATTAGTAATTTATTAGTAACATCAACGAAGTCGACGACCGTTTAAATAAATGGTGATCTCATGCTTTTTCTAATTATATTGCTAAAGGCATCAACGGCGCCAATAAGAACTCAAGTGTCCAAGCACAATTGGCGGTCATCATTTGGATTTAACAAAAAACCTAGAAAAGTGAAAATTTATCAAAGCAAGTTTTATGGAATGATTCAATTCTTGATTCCAGTATTATAATTCAAAATCAACAACATCATTATCAACAATATCAATAATCATATTTATCAGAAGAATTATAGAGATGAATTTATTAATACTTTTCTGATAAAAACTAATTTCTGATACTTGGGTTTTATCCAATTTATCAGCACTATAAATTCATAACGGTTTTTTTTATCTTGCTTTGACTTTTTCACTGCTTGTTAAACGACAAACTACTGTTGAGAGAGTATTTTATTTATAAGCCCCCGACATATCAATTAGATTTGTCCTCGAAAGTTATTAGAGCCGATGAGCAACGACTTTAAGTACGTAATACTTACACTTGTAACTAACTTTATAATATAAAAAAGCAATCACAATGACCACGATGGGTGTGACTGTTTACTGCAACCGTGTTCAAATAAATGGGGAGCAAGAACAGTTGATGCTGTTACGGACATTACAAGATAATGAAAGCAATATTTTAGGAAATCAATCACACATAACAACTGTCCAGAAAGGTCTAAACAACACTCATAATGCTAATGCTGCTCTTCCACCATATGATCCATCTAGATTAAAAAAACATGGGAAAAATGGTCAACCACCCCCTGTTGCTGTTGCTAAACGTAATGCTAGAGAACGTAACAGGGTGAAACAAGTTAATAATGGCTTTGCTACCTTACGACAACATATTCCAAGTCATATTGCTGCTGGTTATGGTGATCGTGGTAAAAAATTATCTAAAGTGGAAACGCTTAGGATGGCAGTGGAGTATATCAGAGGATTACAAAGACTATTAGCAGAAGCTGATGGTGTTGAGTATGATTCTAATTCTATTGCTCATAATGTGCCATCACCAAGTAGTAGTATTGTTTCACCATCAGGACACAGTGGTGTTGGTGAGAGACTTGTTCTTGAGGATGATGTAAATGCTGAAGAGGAATCTAGAGACATGTTACATGAGGAAGGAGATGACGAGTCGAAACGTAAAAAATTGTCGACTCGGTAAGGATTTCTAAAATAATATTTTCCTGAAGAAATTATTCCACCAATAGTAGTCTTTTGTTCTTTTTTTTCTTACCTTTTTTTCACTCGGTTCCAAATTAATTCACCGGCTGGTTTAAATCTGCCGGTCGGCTTGAAATTCGCATGCGAATGCAATGAAAAGAATAGCTGGTTCTGGGGAGGGATCACTGCGAATGCAAAGCCCCTAGCAAACCTTGGTATAATCATATTTTCTCCACACATTAATTTCTTTCTTTTTCTTTTGTTAGATATTATTCTAGTTTCGTTCTTTCGATTCTCAAATTTATTAATAATACAATATCAAAAAACCAGAACTCTCATTATTTTTCAATATCAACATAAATGAATCCTAAAGAACTGACCAACTTTTTTGATGATAAAAATCAATTCTAGCTTGCTTTCTATTTATTTCAGGTTATCACCAAATATTTTAACCACATCAACATCCCCTAGAAGTTTTTATAAACAAACAACTGGTGATGAAGAGAACCTAGAACCTAGAGGGTTATCAAGCACAGGATTGGATACATTTTCTCGTCTGTCACCAACGTCTTTGGCATCACCACAAACTGAATACTATAATCAAAATGAAGAAAATCTTGAACCACAAATATTATCACCCTACAGTGGTGCCGGAGATAGCGAAGAAGGTGGTACAATTTACACTGCAAGTCCTGAGGCATTTTCGGGCGCGTTATATTATAAACAGGAGATCACTGAGTCCGGAGAGTTCATGGACGTGGTCAGTTGGTGGGAACCGGAACCTCTGGTGCATCACACTCAGCCACATGCTCAACGGCTCACACATGTCTGATCGTAACCCAGCAAACCGGTAAGTCCCATTTGATATATTTCCTTTTTTAACTTGTTGTGTTATATATACAGACCTGAAAATAATTCAAAAAAAAAAAGAAAGAGAGAATGAGTAAACTGATGAAGCAGCTAAATTTTTAAATTGATAGATTATCGATCTACCTGGTTATTCAATGATTAACAAATCAAGCATACACAAGAGACAGTGGGTTAGGATTAAATACTTGCGCACACATGATCATATGGTTCAGTAGGCGCAAAGGAAGCCTGCCAAGTGGAAATACTTGTTCTTGAAATGTTTTTTTATGCATACATGGTTTAAGCGTTTATCCAAAATAAACTTTAAAGCTACTGACAAACCACTTATGTAGATGATCAACGTTGGTTTATAGTCACCAACAATCTGAAAAAAAACATTTTATTTTTCAGGTAAATGTTGAATGAATTCAAGATGGATCTTTTTTTTTTTAAAGAAATTGAGTCGAACAATTGCTTGAATATTATGAGCATTCAATACCTTCAAAATCATTTTATTCATTGTATAGGGTTGGTGAGTCGATTGAAATGCGAATTTCAAGCTGAAAAAAATTTTTTTTCGTGAATTAATGAACAAATAGCAGTGGTCGCGAGACGAACGGAAGACTCCTACTCGCCATGTGCCCGGAAATTTGCGTCGAGATGTCTCTTCGTCTCGACTGTATACTCGACCCTCAAAATCATGTGGTTTTGCTTCTTTCTTCTTCTTTCTATTATTCCTCTTCCGTTCAGCCGAACAACTGCCCCCGTGAGACTGGCCGAGTAATATAGAAAAATTTATTCTAAAAAAATTTCTGCAAAAGCCCACAATGTTTGCCAATCACTCTAAAAACAAAAAAAAAATATCTCTTTGATTAGATTTTTCTTGCTTGGATCAACTGAGTTTTATAGTTCCTCAAACTAGTAAAGTTTGGGTAAACAGTTAGACCACATTATAATAACTATCATCTATAAATAGAGCAGGAGTTACTTTTAAAAATAAAGGTCCACAAGCATATATGTGTAGACTTATATGTGCTCTTGAATGTTTAATATGGCTTAAAGTAAAGAACGACAACGATGAGTGTGCCATATGGGCAGCAATGTGATCGACTAAGTTGCCATCAGTGGAGATGGTGCTTACCATATGCTCCATGGCCCGCTTAACAGACGGACCAATTTTTCGTCATGTTTTCGACAGACCAAAAGTCTGGAAGATGAAGCAACACATCTTTTTCATCTCAATATTTCTTAGTATTTATTATTATTCTTTTTTTTTTTCTTCAGAAAATTTAATTCTATCCAAGTCATTTCTTCTTAATTCATTTATTATTTTTAAATAATAATTCATTTCAATAAACACCAAATGATGCATTCATTTTTGAACATCTATCAATACATTATCATTCAGTGCAGTTGAATTTTTTTTTCACAATATCAACATTTTCTTCTAAAAGTGTATAAACTTGTAGATGAGCTAATGTATGCATATGCTGGTAATGTATATTGATAAGATAAACGTGAGCTCGTGCCTTTCTCACATGCGGGCATCTACCAGCATAGTTGACATTTTGGTTCAAAATTTTTCCACATACTATTTTGTTAACGACAATTAAAGTTTGCTGATAAACCATTGGTTTGTTATTATTACTTGAGTAAATTAAATATTTTTTCATCAACACACTGAAGTCTTATTTATATGGCAGCATTGACAATTACTACTTGAAATGTTAAATTTTCGTATCATGTAATAAATGTTAGATGTATCAACTAAAAGATAACACGACTTGGAAGCTAAGAAAGGAATTTATTAAATTAATTTGCCGCGACGACGCATCTCGTAAACTCCATGGATGACCTCACTTTATAATTGTCATGAATTGCTTACTTGATCAAGTCAAGGGAGTCGGTAGCCTTTACGGTATCGTGACTCTTATTATTATAAATACACAAAATAAATAATTTACCCGTCATTTTTTTTTAAACTCACTTTTATTCAACATATAATCTTCATTAATTTATGATAATATTGGTGGAAAAAAAAAATAAACTCAAAGTTTCTTGGCCTCTCATTTAAAAGATATACAAGACTGTGTTTAATACCACTTTTGTAATAACAAGCACAAGATATGTGTTGATTTGGATAATTATTTTTGAAAATATTATTAATATTGGCATTAGCTACGTTAAGTAATATTCAACAAAGTGATTAGTAAAAACTTGTTTCAATAAAAATATGTCTCTTTTAATCTTAATACTGTCATTTTTATCCTGTATAACAGAAATTTGCATTATCGTTCAACCATTAATATCGCCAAAATCAACCCGAGAATTTAAAATTTATGATAATAAAAAAAAATAAAATATCAACTTCCTGTAGCAGATGAAAAAATTCTGATAAAAGTAAATACTTGAGATTTCAATGATTCTTCAGCTCATTATTTTAATGATATTGTGGTATTTTCATGAGAGCAATATTAAAATAGTGATAATATATATGATAATTATCAAATTGTTATCGACTTATTTATTGTATCATAAAAATAATTTAAAATTTAAATCAACATTAGTGGCTTCTGGTAGTGAATAATTGGACTTGGACAATAATTATTGAAGAAAAAGTTTAAAATGGAAATTTTAATTTTTAATTACATCACCTGTGGATACTAGAAAATGATTAGAAATCATTCATGACATACAATTTTCAATAGAATATACAAGTAATAATTCCCACGACCTTAACCAGAATGTCCTTACATTTGTAACGTATATTGTTCTGCAAAAAAATTATTCTGATGTTCATCTATCTCAAATTTATTTTTTTCTAGTTCAGGTAAAAAATCACTACAATAGAGTCTAGCTACTGTATACATTAACATGTAGGTAGCTTAAGATCTTTACGAACAACTATATGTACCAAGGACAATAGTACGATGGACAATAAAACTTAAAAAGAAGTTACAATATAACAATAAGTCTCTCTTTCTCTCTTTCGCTGGCCTAAAGGTCTTTGATAGAATTTTAAATGTGTATTATTTGATTAAAAAAAAACAACAACAGTTCTATTTACATTATTTAACATCAATATTTTATATTAATTTGTAGAAATGATAATCAATATTTTAAAAAAAACCTGATAAACTGTATATATTATAATGTATATTTTACTTTTACAGATGACTTGAGGACTTCCTGATGCAGACTAAATAAATCATCGTATTAATAATCAGTTGAATATTACATCACTTTATCGGAATTTCTTGTGCAAATGAAGATCAAACGAAATTTACAAGAATCAACTAAACAGTACTTATGATCATTTAATGATTATTAATTTAATTAATTAAACATTTTTAATGTTTATTCCACAGTGAATTCTAAATGATGTATATTTATATAATAATATAATTGAACTACAGTATAAGTCTAATCTAAAACCTGCATAAGTTGTTATCGTTGTAGGTAATTACAGAATGTCTTTGAAGCATAATGAAATAGTTTATTATTGAAACAACCGTAATAATAATAATAGTAATAATAATTTGTAAAATTATTTTTTATACACATCAATGTTGGCATCAAATGTAGTGCCTTAAACAAGTCGTATTAAGAAACGAATTATTTACTCGATTGTATAAAGTAAGTTTGACTCCTGGAAAGTTTAACACTAATGATTATTTATGTATTTAAAGTATTTAATTAAATTTTTATATGCGTTGATTGTGAATTGATGAGTAATTAATTTTAAACGATGATCATTGTATTAATTTTGCCCAAGAAAATTTTCAACAATTAGAGTAATGAAAAGTCAATATTTTTAACGAATAAATTATTTAATCGAATATTAAAATATGCGTTATTTGAATGCCATGTGATAAATCAGGTGAATAGTATCTTTTGCTTGGCCATATGAATTATATTAAAGATAATTCGGATACTTTTGATAAAATACAAAAAATAGCATTCAAATAAATCAAGTATTGATTAAAAGAAAAGACAGTTGTGTATAGTAAAAGCAATTAAATAGATTCCAATGTATAATAATAATGTCAAGTTTGGATGCTATTAAATTTATAAATTTTGCAAACTACTGTTATTGTATAAGTATGATTCATGAATATTAAATAGTACTTATGCTTGCTCAAAAGATGCATGATTGAACTTCTTAAATAAAATATTTTTGGATCAACTTTATTGCTAGGTTTTATGCAACGTTGTGAGTACTTATTTACTTTAGGGAATATTTGAGCTCATAAGTAGTTTAAAAAATTTAAATAAATAGGATAATAAATTAAACATCAATATAGTATTTTTAAACTATAAAATTCCCAAGATATTCCCTACTGTAAATGGTTATACTTCGTTTTAAATATAATCAAAACATCAAATATTTGTATATACCAGTGCCTTAGTTAATTTAAAAAATTTATTAAATATTAAGCTATATGTCAAGACTATTTTTTGTATTTGCAATTTTTTATCAAATATTTAAAATACATTTAATATTTATAAAATAGTGTTATTTATTTTTTCTCGATGAAAAATGAATGTTGTATATATAATGTATATTTAATAATATTTAAGTTATTAAGAATATGAGCTGTTAAATTACTTTTAAAATTAAGTTCATACAATTGTAATTATATGCGATGGTGATCAAAAAATAGGTGCTTTGAATTGGTCACGTTTAAACTAATATAACATTAATTATTTAGTCTAGTAGGGCTGATATTTATTATTTTTTTGCAATTACGAGGGTCAATTTTCAAACATGTGTGCTCCTTTACGTACAAAGTGTAGCCCAGTACGTGCCACGTCATTTCCGCTTAGCAAGTACTTCCGGCTGTTATTTTAATACTTGGTGGACTGACCGCGAAACCGACCCCCTTCTGTCTTCCGCTTCCACAGTAGCTACCCTTATTTATTTTCGGCATTTAAAAATTTCTTATTTACTGTTTTATTACATTCAATATTGACGCACTTGATTTCAATAAATATTCATTTTATCGATCGCTTACACAATTTATAAATAATTATAAATATTTTGTTGTTCCGTATTTAAAGTTTATGCTTATTTTTATTGAGGGAAATTTAGAATGTAATTCCAAAAGTTTTCGACCTCACGATAATAGCGGATGTTAATGCGTCAATTCGTACTCAAATGAATTATGAATGATTGTCAGTTTGAACATTACTGACCTCCTTATAATTATCTTTCATTTATATTATTACAAAATTTTCTGTAATATTGTTAATTAATGTTTGTATCTTATTTGGTAGAAGACTATTTCGTCATAACTTCAAAAAAAAAAAAATTGATGGCTCAGCATCTATTTTAGCCATAATTATCACTTGAAGATTTCAAATAAATCATTTGAGATTATTTTAGTAACATGAAAATTTTATGAGTTTCATTTCACGGAAATTTCTAGTCATTTGAACTTTAATGATTCATCATATCATAGACACACAATGTTCATCAAATGTAATCTCAATCAGACACATGGATAAAAATAAAGCAAGTCATAGGCAAAATCAATATCACCGAAGTATCTAATTGATTATTATAAATTAACAATTTGAATAAATTAATTACGAAACTTTATTATATAAGTCAAAGTATCTCATTAAAAAATAAAACATCATACTCGACTGAACCATTGTCTATACTTACTATTATATGATTGAATATCAACAGCGCATTCAATTGTATTGCTTATCCTAAATACGTCGTGATTGTCAAGTCTCACGAATTTAGCTACGCGACTCGAACTATTTGTTTGATTTGCAATTTAAAGTAATGTTGAGGGCAAGGTCGTTGTATATGTTAAATAAGTCGCTGTTGATGTGCCGCAGTTATAAGTATTCCTACCTGTTAATTTAAAGCATTACTAAACCTTCTGGCAATGACAGTGGATATCGTGATTAATTAATTCTTTCCAACTAACTTTTCTCGAAGTTTGGATGATTTAATATTTTTGTTATAATATTTGTAGTGTTATAAAGTTATCAAAATGGATGTTGTACCGGTCCAGACTAGTTCATCTTATTTTTCTACAGGGATGTTTTATCCTTTATTTCTAATTATTGGTAGCCTTTGGGCTATTCATTGGTACTTGGAAAATTTACGAATGGTGAAGATGGGGAAAAAATTACCAGGTAAAGTTAATTCTATAGGAATTATTTTATTACTTTATACTTAGAAGTTTTGGATATTATTTTTTATTTGCAATCTGTCGATACTGTTAGGTCCCAAGACCGTTCCATTCTTTGGAAATGCATTAATAGCTCTTAACGTACATCCCAAAGATATCTTAAATACGCTTTATAAATATATACATCATGGTAGAGTAATAAGAGCTTTTCTCGGTCCAAAACTTGTCGTTTTTCTCATGGACCCAAATGATGTTGAAGTGATTCTGAGTAGTTCTGTTCATATTGATAAATCACCAGAGTACAGGTAACATTAATAATGATAAGAGAATAAATGAATTTTAAAATAAATAAATACATGTTATATATTTATTAAATAGGTTTTTCAAACCTTGGCTTGGCGAAGGTCTATTAATTAGCACTGGAGAAAAATGGAGGACTCACCGAAAAATAATTGCTCCAACATTCCACTTAAATGTTCTCAAGACTTTTGTGCCATTATTTTATGAAAATAGTATTGATTTAGTAAAACGACTTAAATCAGAAGTTGGAAAAAATTTTGATTGTCACGATTATTTATCAGCAGTGACCGTTGATATTTTAATAAATACAGCAATGGGAGTTCGTGGAGAACGTAAAGAAAAGACTGGATTTGATTATGCTATGGCTGTTATGAAGTATGCTAATTAAAAAGGGTTCATAATGATCAACATTACTGTCATAGAGAAATTTTAAATACCATTTTTTATCTCCAGGTTGTGTAACATTGTTCATCAAAGGACATACAATATTTTGTTGCGACCAGATCAATTATTCAAATTTTCAAAGTATGCAACCAAGCAGGAAAAACTTTTAGATACTATTCATGGACTCACTGGTGGTGTAATTAAAAGAAAGCAGAAAGAGTATGAAGAGAAAGGTGAACTTGCATATCCTGAAGAATTCCGTAAGGGTACGACTTACACTAAAGGAGAAATGGAAAAAATAAATGAAAGTAAAATGAGGTACGCCAGAGATGATCTTGATGAGATTGACGAGAATGATGTTGGTAAGTACTTTGAACTCTATACCATTTTATGTATAATTTAAATTTAAAATAACAATCTAGACATCATTCATTTGATCTATTTCAGGTGAAAAGAGACGTCTCGCTTTCCTTGACCTTCTACTCGAACTCAACCGCAATGGATCTACTTTAACAGAAGAAGAAGTCAGGGAAGAAGTAGATACAATTATGTTTGAAGTAACTTTCCAATTATTTATTTCTTTAAATCATAAATTTAAAACTCAACATTCTATTATATGTTGTTAATTATTTGATCAGGGACATGATACCACAGCTGCTGGATCCAGCTTTGCTTTATGTGTCTTAGGAATCCATCAAGACATTCAGGTGAGAAAAAAAAAATAAACCAAAGAAAATTGTGAGCTTTCTCAACTAAAAATTACTTGAATGGTTTTTTAGGATCGTGTATATGAAGAAATAAATAGTATTTTCAAAGGATCAAATCGGCCATGTACGTTCCAAGATACACTAGAGATGAAATATCTAGAGCGTGTAATCATGGAGACTTTGAGGATGTTCCCACCAGTACCAGCGATCGCTCGACAATTGAATGAAGACGTTCAAATTGGTATAAAATATTTTCTCTATTGTTCCATAATACTTTCATTTGAATTTATTCACAAACAAAAGGCTTATAAATGTAATTAATTTCAGTGACTGGCAATTATGTATTACCTCGTGGAACCACGGTTCTTATCCCTCCTTTCCAGATTCATCGACTCGAAGAGTACTACCCAAATCCCGAAGTATTTGACCCAGACAGATTTTTACCCGATGTTACTCAAAATCGTCACTATTACGCTTATATTCCGTTTAGTGCTGGACCAAGGTAAGTAATTAATTATTCACTGATTTACATTTTGATACCAATTAAAATAAAAATTATTTTTTTTAGGTCATGCGTTGGAAGGAAATATGCAATGCTTAAGTTGAAAGTTTTAATTTCTACAATACTTCGAAATTACAAAATTCTTTCTGATTTAACAGAGAAAGACTTCCAGCTTCAGCTGGACATTATTTTAAAAAGAACAGATGGTTTTAAAATTAAGATTGAACCTCGTGAAAAAACTACTGTTAGTGCATAAACTCAGAGAATTCAAATAAATCAATCATATCATTCATTTCTTCTCTTTTTCTTTTTACAAATATAAATATATATATATCTATTAATGATAAGTTTAATAAAAATTTTTTTGAGATATAAAGTTTGTAAAAAATTTTATTTTTATGCAACAATAATCACAATAACAATATTGATAAAAATAATATCATCTTCATATTACAGTAGAGCATTAATCTTTCTTTCTTTTTTTGACTTTCGATAATCCATGAGAAGTTCTATTGCCCAAGGAATAATGAATGCACAATTAATTGCAATTAAAACAAGCTGACATATATCAAAACTATTTGTAATATCTTTGATAAATCCTAAAAAATTTTATGATTAAATTAATTTGCATTATTAATTAATTATATTGGAACTTACCTACTAATGGACCGAGAATGACCATCACAACTCCATTAACAAGAGTGAATATTCCATAACAAACAGCATACTTTTCTACTGGAAAATTTTCAACCACTACCAAAGGTTGTGATACCAGAATGAATGACCGAACCATACCAATCAGTGCAGTACATACTAAAATTCCAATCAAATTCGTTCCAAAGCTGAAAAAAGCTTCAAACAAAATTATGCTCTTAATATTAATTTATTTTTGAACTGTATCAAAGATGATAAAATAATCATTTGCCTACCGAATTTAGCAAATCCCAAAACAATCATTGCAAAGAAAAAGATAACTTTAGCTCGAACATCTATAAATAATGTTAAAATTAAAAATAATATTCTCGATGCTAATTCAGCAGCTGCAGAAACTGTAATTGTCATGGCAGCATCGCTATTTTTATATCCTGATTGGAGCATCGCTAGTGGTAGTAATGACGAGAATGTAAAATCACTTAAAAACACAAAACTTATTCCTACACTCATTATCATGAAAGTACGATCTTTCAATAACGAAAGTTCAAATAAATTCTCTATCATTTCACTGCAAAAAAAAAAATTAATCAAATCATTGAAAATAATTTCTTGATTCTAATTAAAAAAAAAAATATTTACGAAAAGGTTTGTTCATCATTTTGACTTATTGATTTTTGTCTAACTATTCTGATCTGTCTGTTTTGAATTAGCTCTGAAGATTCCGTCTTCTTTGACTCATTAGCTGTAGCTTTTAATATTAATTCTACTTGACGTTGAGAATTGATTAAAGCACCAGTAATATTTCTAATACTAGATCCTGATGCTATTGATGACACTGATGCTACTGATAAACTTTCACACAAAGGTATTCGCATTGATTTCGATCTTGGACGATCAATTGACTCAACATGAGTATTATTAGATTCATTTTCCTGATGAAAAATTATTTTCTTTAATAACAGGAAAATAAATATAAAAATAAGTATTTTATTGTCAAACCACTTGCTTGAGAATCAATCATTCGTAATGATTTATGATGGGGCAGATTATTTTTCAAGCTTCCAAGACTATCCCATCGATTTAGTTCAGTGAAATTACGCATTACATGTATCGTTGAACGACGATCAGACGAATTCATAAGTGATGTTGGATTGTAAGATAGTTTAGATGATAAATCTTGCAATTCTTTTTTCACATTTTGTTTTCGTTTTTCCTTCAAGACTTCATTTGGATCTCTGATGTGCCACTCCACTGGATGCATCATCATCATTCCTACAATGCTGTTCAAACTCATTGCACCAATTAATGCAGCAGTTCCTAAGATTACAATTAAATACACTTCATGTTAATACCATGTAATTAGATGTAATTAAATTACTTTGATTAAATCTACCTCGAAATCCATAAGCAGACATCATTTTTTCAACAAGTAATGGATAAACAATGCCACCAATACCTATTATTACTTGAGCAGCACCCATTATCTGATAAATAAACATGATTACTGAATGATTTAGATCAAAATTATTTTACATATGTAAAAATATTCTATTGTCTTAAAAAAATGGTAATATTAGAGATACCTTGGCTCTTTTTTTAACAAAAAAAGCATTAAAATTAGCACTGCATATTGTATTCATTAGACCTGCGCCAATGCCTTGAATAAAGAATATAATTGCCAATTGATATACATGAGTAACAAATGCTGCAAGAATGTTGGGAATAGAGTACAGAACTGCTGCTCCTATGCTGACCATTCGTAATGAAAATTTTTGAAGCAAAGCATTTGTCATGACACCTAAGTTTCATAATAAATAATCAATCGTTTTAATCATTAGAAATTTTATCAGTGTAACCCACCTGAGAGAGAAAAGCTTATCATAAAAACAGAGTTCAATATCGTCATTGATGAGCCAGACTCAGTTGATTCGAAAAACTCTCCAAAAATGATAGCAAAGCACATACCTGCACTGAATGTCGTTACCTAGATTATATTTTAAATTAATCAAATATCTAATGATTTATTCTTTTAGATTATGAAGAAAATAAATAAATAAATAAAAAACTCACAAAAACAATAATCAATGCAAGTGCAATCATCCATCCCCATCCTCCCTCTGGTGCTAAATCTTCAAGCGTTAATTCCTCAATCTCTTCAGCATCAGTTTTATTTTCTTTTTTTTCTATATCACATTTACGATCATCCATAATAAATAATATTCATATAAAAAAGAAATGTATATAAATATCTTTTGAGTATATGATTTCTCTAGATAATCTCGATAGCAGAGTATTAATTTTCAATAAAATTAAAAGAATGATAATGTAGATATTAAGTGATGTTTAGATGTGAAAAAACACCTTCTAACTAAGAGAATAAAGTGAAAACAAGAAATACTCAGAGTCGTTTATGAAATTATTTACTGAAAAGATCGCTTATCTATTAATATTTTGGATGACACAATGAGTAAAGCTTTTTCGCCTTGTAATATGAATGAATTATTGCCTATTATTATCACAATCATAAGTGAAAAGCAAATCAATATTAAGTTAAATGATTACGTATACAAATTTCACATTACATTTCATGTAACTATGAATATTTATTCATTACATATTATTTATTATTTATAGTAATTTTTTTATTTTCAACCAAATATATTAGATAAAAATGGTTTTACCAAATTTTATAATTGAACTTATCACTCTAAATGAGTCAATAAATACTATTTTTGTGTAGAATAATATTTCATAATATTATCAATGAAGAGGAAAAACGTTATAAAAATTCTGAGAATTTAACAGAATAGTATTAACAATATTTAATAATAGTTATAAAAAGGTATTTCATATCATTATGGTATCACATTGGTAAATATTGATAAAAAATCAAGATCTAATAATACAGTAGTTGTGATATCTATGAGAGAATAACAAAAATTACATATCAAATGCTACTCAATTATAATAAAACAAAATAATAACAAATTATTTACCAATATTTGATTTAATGAATTAAAACCTAATATACAATAATACAAGCACTATGTTAATGAAGCAATTGATTTCAAAATATAATCAGATAAGTTATCTCCACTATTGAAAATGAAAAGATAAGTTGATGAAAGTAGAGTTGGACAACATGTGATTCGACATTGAATTATTTCAAGTACTAACAAGATATTCGAGCAATCAGTGTATAGTTAAGTGCAGAAGTCTCAAATAGCGTACATTCTTATTCAAGATGTCTGAAGCTAATAATTCTGAGACAATTACCAAAGATAAAAAGGTTGAAGAGCACAAGCCTAAAGCACCAGATGGTGGTTGGGGATGGTTTGTCTGCTTTGGCAGTAGTTTGATTACGGTAAATAAAGATTATTTTTAATCAACTTTATAGCCATTAGCTTTTATCAATCAATTCATCTTTCATTAGAATTGAAATATTTTTAAAATTCTTTCATAAAGAATTATTTCTTTATTATCTTGACATGGACTGCATATCTATCAATTCTATTGACTGTTAAAATGATATTATTTATCAGCTCTCATTAAGATCACTTGATCCATCCTTCGGACTTATTTTCAACGATCTATTGACTGATCTTAAAGTTGATTCCACCAAGACGTCTTCAGTTCTTAGTGTTCTTGATGCCTGTATGAACTTTTCAGGTAAAAAATCATTAAAACTCATTTTGCATCCAATTTTCTAGATATTAAAAATTTCAAATCACCATGTTTTAGGAATTTTCGTTGGACCATTGTTGAATAAATTCTCCTTCAGACAAGTTGCAATATGTGGATCTTTGCTAAGCTGCACTGGACTGGTTCTTACAGCTTATGCTACCAGTATAGCACATATATTGGTAACTTACAGTATTTTGACAGGTAATATTGAATTTAATTGATAATAATTCAAGTGAATTATTTGTTGTTCAAATGTTTCAGGTGTTGGAACTGGGTTAGCTGTGGCATCAGCTTTCGTAGCATTGAACACATACTTTGATAAAAAAAAAGGTCAAGCAGTGGGTTTTTCTTCAGCTGGCACCACGATAGCTATGATGCTCGTACCACAAGTAAAGAGATTAATTTAAATGTTACAAATAAAACAAAAATTATTCAATTTATAATAAACATTAACATTAGGCCGCTCATTTATTTCTTGGCCTATATGGATTTAAAGGAACTATGCTTATATTTGGAGGTCTATCTATGCATTCAATTATTGGATCCTGTTTCCTTCGACCTCTTAAACCAACCAAGACAATTAGTTTTAAAAAACAAAATCTTCGGGTATGAATTTTTCTCATGTTTTCAATTATTTCTTCATCTGAAAAATAATTAAATTATACATTTTTATATAATGTTTTCCATCATGACAGTCACTTGATAGTAATGAATTAAAGATTCATAAGGAAAGAAGAGAAGTAGAGTCACTTTTGGTGGTAAAAAATGGAAAGAATGAAAATAATACTGAAGCTTCAGAAGAGATATTGAATGAAGAGAAAGAAAAAAATCAGAACGAAAAAAAAGATCGACATAGTGACTTATTTGTAGTATTCACAGATTTATTTGACTTAAATCTCTTCAAAAATTACTCTTATTTAAATGTCATTTGTGGTTTAAGTCTCTTCAATGTTGCTGAAACAAATTTCAAATTGATGACACCCTTCTTTCTGCGAAATAGTGTAGGTCAGTAATAAAACAGCAATCAAATGATTTTTATACCTTAAAAAATGATAACATCAACTGGTAATATTTTTTTTAAAATAGGTATGACAGAAGGAGAAGTAGCAACATGCTTATCTCTAACAGCATTCACTGATATTGTTGCTCGTATTGTTCTGCCGATAATATATGACAAGCTTGGATTTAAAAAGAGACGTTTATTTTGGATAAATGCCTTCTTTGTTGCAGTTGGACGATCAAGTATGCTTATTATTAAAAGATTTTCATAATATACCTGAAATAAAATGCTGCTTTTTCAGTATTAGCAGAACGTTCAAAAGGTACCTGGCTTTATATAATTCTCATTATCAATGGTTTCATTCGTGGTGCTGCTATACAAAATTTATTACTTTCCGTTTCTGAAACATGCTCATTAAAAAGTTTACCCCATGCTATTGGACTTTTCATGGTGTCAAAAGGATGCTTTTCTCTTGCATTGAGCCCACTTGTTGGTATGTAATTAGAAATTAATATGTAAATTCAACAAAAGCATCAATTTATTCAATCATTTTATTTTATTCCTATTTCAATCCAAGGTTTCGTGAGAGATTATAGTGGTAGTTACAGAATTTGCCTGCACGCAATGAGTGGTTTGATTTTTATTTGCTTTATCAGCTGGAGTGTAGAATTTCTGTGGATTAAACTTCATGAAAAACGAAAACCTGAAAAAGATGTGAGTTCAATTTCATAAATACATATAATGTTGTACATATACACCATCATTTATAAAATAACTAGATTAATAATAAATAAATTATACATTCATTGTAATGGTATAATATATGGATAAGTATTATAATTTAATGTTTAAGAATTATAGATGTATGTATGTTAATTAAAATTGATGTCAACAATATTTTTGGACTGTGTTATTTAAATTCAGAAATGGTAACACCATTGCTAATTTTAAGCATCCAAAAAAATATGGAACGTGATCAATTTTGTTAAAGAGAAATCAACAGCAAGAGATAAACGAGGATGTCTTACAAAGTACATTTTTATATTACTTTCACTTATTATGAAGCATCAGTGACTGTTCGACATCATGTCCAGTAATTTAATTACTTTTCTCCATAATACCTTTTTGTATTTTATAAATTAATAACGCAATTCTCATTTCCATAATTTACATATAAAATTAATTCTTATCTATTGTGACTCTAATAATTGAATTATTTATTTATTATTGGATTGAAAAAAATCTAATAAGGTAAAGGTACGATAAAATGGTGTTTATCATATCTCAAATAGAAAAGATAACGATAAAAATCCAATAAATTTAAAATTCTTACACCAACATCACAATAATTAACAATTAAAACTAAATCTCTACTTTTATTTGTTTATATTGTTTGAATTTATTGAGATTAATTCAATGACGTCTTTGGTATAAGAGTCAAAATATTTTCAATTTAAAAATTACATTATAACCACAAATATGTGTCTTCTATCAATTAAAAAAAAAATCATTCATTTGATAACACTATGCAAACAAAGATAATGTACAAATAGTATACACTTAATTGGGTTCATTATTCATTATTAATATGAATATAAATAAATGAAGTAAGAATATATAGTTATCATATAATTTTTATCAGTGGACAGTTAAAAAATTTTAATGAAATAAAAAATCAGTATTAATTTAAGAAAAGTACATAATAATTATTATTTATTGGTGATAATTTAACATCCATTATATTATATTAAAATTATCAAAAAATAAAAAAAAAACGAAATAATGTTCCCAGTACATTCTAATGATTAGATAAAAGTTGAAATTTATCTCAGTTACAGTTTCTACTATAAACCCAGAGTTCTATAGTCCTCATGCTGGCACAGTTTTATTATAGTCTATGCTTTATGTTTAATATATGAGTTAATGTCTCTTCTATTGGCCGGAAGAACATCTAAAGATCTTTAAATAAGACTTCATGTGATATTAGACAGTTAACAATAAGATGCTTCAGTAACTATAAAAGTTCACGTGTCAAATGTTGTTGGATTTTAACATACTTTCTTCAATACAAGAGAAAATAGTGATCATGTGTTTGCAGTAATATATTGATAAACTATGCATGTAAATTAAAAAAAACACTCAATTTACTAGATAAATAAATTTTAAATGACATGGCTGCAATGAAAGAACGAATCAAAACTAATGATCAAGTTGAAGAGACAATGAAACCTCCTGATGGAGGATGGGGATGGATGATCGTCGTGGCGTTTGCTGTGAACAATGTATGTAAAATTAATTGATTATGTTATAAATAATTTCATAATGTTAAATTTTTCTAGCTCATAATGGTTCCATTAATCACAGGATTGGGAATAATTTTCAAAGATTTGTTTCCCTTGTATGAAATTTCTCATACTGACGGAACTATAATTATGAGCACGAATATGTCATTTGGAATGCTGATGGGTCTGACTCATGGCCCACTTTTACAGATATTTGGTTACAGAAAAATTGCAATAGCTGGAGGATTGATGTTCTCGATAGGTCTTCTTCTAACTTCATTTGCCAAAACTTTTGTACATTTTTTGATATCGTATGGTATTTTAACATGTGTGTATGTTTCTTGCAATTTATTTCTTCAAATTAATTAAATAAAATATCTACTAATTATGAAAAAAATTATTTTAGCGTTTGGTATTGGTTTAGGAATGTCGGCATTTTCACTTGCACTGAATACATATTTTTTAGAAAAAAGAGGACGAGCAATGGGAATGGGAATGACTATTACAGGTCTTGGTCCTATTTTGATGCCACAATTAGTATCAATTTTACTTAATTCCTATACTTCTCAAGTAAATAAAAAATATCATTTATTTAATACTGGCAAATATTCAAAACTATTAAATCTTTATGTTTTTCAGGGAGTAATGATTATTCTAGGAGGATTAGCACTACATACAGTATGTGCTGCTTTATTACTTCAACCTGTCAAATGGCATACTAAACGTATAAATAATCAACTCCAAAATAAAAATAGTTGTCAACAATCACTTGAAGTCAATAAAGTCGAAAAAAAAATTCAAGCAATCATAGATGAACGAGACTTAGGTAGATATTAATCAAAGATTTTAGATAATTGAAATTCATAAAAGATATTAACTTATTTAATTCTAATTTATCAGTTGTTTCGAATTCTGATGGACAAGAGATTATTGGACATGCTCAATCAATTCATGATATAGTAGAAATGACAAATAATGAATTTATGATCAACAATCCATCACATAAATGGTGGAACTCAGGTAAATCTTGATGACTAATTAAAAAACAACATAACATTATTTATTTTATCAATGAGAAATTGTTTTTTATCAGTCAAAAGCATGGAATCAGTGCATTTGGGAAGCTGTCTAATGATTTATGATGAAGTAATGGTTTATGAAAAGAAATCAATTGATGATTACCTACGAAATGAGATAGATGATAAAGAATTTCATCAAAAAAGTTGCAATAAGCTATATGATATTTGCTTAAAAAACAATGAAATGTAATGTACCTCCTCGTTTACTTAATTGAAAATTTATAAATATTAATAATCAAGAGAAATTTTATTTTAGATTAAAAGAAAATAAATTAGAAGATTCCATCGATGATAAATGCTTAAAAAAATTCTTCAATCAAGTAATTAATTTTTTTGATTTAACTCTTTTGTGTGATCCAATTTATGTCAACATAATGCTGGGAATATCTATAGCTATGTTTGCTGAAATGAATTTTTCTATTCTCATTCCATTTATCTTAAAAGATATGGATTTTACCACAAAGCAGATAGCTACAGTGATGAGTGTTATGGCTACTGTTGATCTATTAACACGTGGCTTTGCTCCATTTATTGGCGAGCGGCTATGCCAGACACCTAGAAATATATATCTAGTCAGTTTGATGATGTTAATTATTAGTAGAAGTAGTATGTATTTAATCATCATATTTTTTTAATTATTTTAAATTTATCTTTAGCTACATAATTGTCTTGTTGTCATTTATAGTATTGATATTTTATACTGATTATATTGCTGTGATGATAATGGCTACTGGTGTAGGATTTTCCAAAGGATTTCGATCTGTTTTTATGTCTTTAGTAATTCCTAGTTATGTTTCAATTGATCGATTGCCACATGCTGCTGGAATCCAAATTTTTGTTAATGGAATAATACTCATGGTGCTTAGTCCTATTATGGGTACTGATTTTTTTATTAAATTTTTATTTTAATTCAATTAAGAAGATACTAACATTTAATTTATTTTTCGTTTTAGGAATAATGCGAGAATTGAAAGGTAGTTTTGTAGTTTGTATAATTATTATAAATTCGATGACAGCACTTACTATAATAATGTCGATGATCGAAATGTGTATTACCAAACGTATTAGTAAATCAGAAGAAGATAAGAACCAGTATCAAGCAGTAACACCACATGAATAATTTAAATACTTAAGATTAAGTATTTATTTGTCATTAAATTAAAAAAGAAAGAAAATTGTAGGACAATTTATTTAAAATTAATTAGATGTGTACTTATCTTTTTTAGCACTATCATGAATGAATTACATAGTCCTCTTTTTTCATTATGCATATAATACATTCACTACCTCATTAAGGTCGCGTCCTTGTTTGATCATTTTACTCTTGAAACAGTTTTTTAATTACTCACAAGGCAATTCTTGGTGTCTCTTATTATAGAACAAGTCACTGGGTAATTCACCGAGTATCATGAAACAATGAGACGCTTTTCTACAATCTTCCGGCATTTACATTCTCACGGTTCATGACTTTGTGCCAAGTTCTATAGCCTTTCGTTTCTTTTGTAAAAATCATCGACCCTGAAAATACTTTGTGAAACATTAAACTCTCTTTACTACGAGTAATTGTATTTTGAAAATTTTCATAAATATATTTTGTTAATAGTCTTAAATAAATTCATTACTAAACAAAACACTACACTATCAAAATTTTTTTTTCCACTGCTAAATAAAAAAGTGAAAATTTAATTTCTTTAAAAAATAATTAATATAAATATGTACATTACATTCTTTCAAGCTAATATAAATGATTGTCAGTAATAATTCATCTTTATGAAATAATATTTTACCTATTGAACCTCTTTCTTTTTTGATTTCATATTTTTGCAGTATTTACATTTCTTTATACTCTCTTTGGATCAATTTCTCATATACTGTTTTCTGTATAAAAATTTTTCTACGCTACATGGACACAATATAATTTATTGACTTAATACTTAATATACGTATAAAAGTACATATGTAGACTCAATGTCATACTGGCCATGATTGAGAATTTGTAATAAATAATTATTAAAATAATCTATGAAAACTATTTAGCATTAAGTTGTTCAGTTATCTTGATCTTTATGATCATGTTTAGTTGCAGCTATCTTATTGAGCTTGAATCCTTAAAACTATAAATATTTCTAATACATTCAAATGTTCAACGTTTCCATTACATCTTGAAGTCAATGTTCACATGTAAATTTAATCTTAACAGTCTCTTGAAAACACGTACACTAATATTTTACACTTAATTTAAACTACAAACATTAATGTTGATTCGTTCGTGAAACCTGAAATAAAAAATAGAACACATAAATATTGTAAGAGATTTAATGGAAACAAATGCATAGTTATTGATGAGATTGGCAATAATTAATTTACCTTAGAATGACCTGTATAAAGAATCGGCTTTTCTAATTTTTTATTCGACGTATTAAACGACGAAGCATATTCATCGTGTTCCATAATGCCCCATAATGGAACCTCAGCTGGTCCAGTCGACGCAACAGCAAGATTATTTACTGCCTGAGGCAATACTTGATATGCTCTTTCAATTGACTCAAATTGTGCTGTCGAATTATTATTGCTGCTCTCATTCTCTACCTTGGTTCTTTCATCAGTTAAATTACTATTAAAACTTGTAGGTTTTAATGTTGTCTGTGGCGTAACAACATACACACGCTCATTACTTAATGGTGAAATTGAGACCGGAAGTTGTTCCCAAGAACTGTCTTCACCACTCGCACCATTCATATCAGCTGTTGGTGATATTGAATCTAATTCTGCAGATGATCTCTGGGAACTTGCGCGTGATAATAATACCTGAATCAAATTATTGCAATTATAAATTAAATCATAAATTATGTATTCTTTGAAAAATAATTAAATCAGTACATTTATAAATTCCCGGAAGATAAAATTTTTTAATTATAATAATAATAATGATAATTGTCACTTATTTAACAAATATTTCAATGATTATTCATTACCTGTGGATGTGATACATCAACTTGATTACTTGACGACACTTCATGATCCAAATCGTTAAAATTGAAACCATTTAATGTATTTCCGAGGGTGCTCTTTGGATCCTGAATAATAGTTACAGTGGAAACAGGTTCAGTAGTGGTTAAATATGTCTCTGGTATCTGTTTAGATTGTGTTAGATGTGGATGAGAAACACTCGGTGTAGCGATACTTGCTGTCGTTCCTCTGGAATATTCCTGAAGCGAAAGAGAAAAGCGGATGAGAAATCAACTCACTGTTTTGCTGGGTCAGAGGATCATGATGTCAATAAAAAGTTGCAAATAAATATACATCCTACATCTTAAATATTATTTTCTTCTGATACTTTATATAATTTAATATTTAATTGCATGTTTTTAACATAGACTTCATTACTCGTAGATAGATTTTTATTGAATGAATTGAATGTTTCAATTATATATAATTAATTGTAATTTCTTTTAAAAATAAATTAAGATACTTCTTACCTGAATAGTCCAATTATCAATATTTTTTTGTAGTTTTCTCTCAATAATGGAATCATTTGGTAATGATAGAGCTTTAGTCTTCAATATATCACCTCTTGAAAGGTTGTTCAAAGCTTTTATATCATAGAAGAAGTCATCTTGATCTTTTTTCGTTAGTTTTTTATCTTTTCTTATTTCTCCTTGATTAGTTTTATTGTAATTTGATTCATTTGTTGATATTTTGTGATCTTGATTTTTGTCCAACTCAGTGTTATTCCATTGATTAACAGAAAGATGGAAAGGTCCAGGTGTATACTGTGATGTATAGGGTATTATAATTTGTACCTAGAATAAACATTAATTAATATTTCACTTGAATAAATTTTTTTTTAACTTTCTAAATACCTGCTTATTTTTTTTAATTCCTTGTTGTTGACTCGCAGACTTTGAATTTCTATCTAGTCCTTTGAAAGTGTCAGTATTTTCTTTTCTTGGAGACATGCCAAATTCCGATTCTGAATTATTATTTTTTAAGTCAAATGAATTTTCTGGTCGCTTCAATGCAATAATATTTCTTTCAAACTTGTCATAGGATTTCATCAGATCATTTAGAATGCCTTGTTCTGTGTTATTTATTGTTGTGGATATGTTTTTTAATACTAATTCTTGTTGATGTCTTGTCTGATTGTTGGTGTTTTGGAATACTTGAATAAGAATTGATGATATATTCCGAGATTCACTTGTTCCTTGGCCTAACAAAGGATCAGAATTGTCCTCATATGCTTGAATATCATCATCATCATTATCATCATCATTATTATAATCACCTCGATTACTATTTTTGTTTAACTTAATACTACTGCCTTGAGCATATTTTGGCCTCAATTGTGCAAATGATGTTTCGTTCTTTTGGTCCTCAGGCCACACAATACGAGTAGAATTTCTGTTGGGAAAAGTGGCATTGATTCCAAAGGTTCCATCTGAATTTTGAAGGATCACTGGAGCATCTGCGTTAGTGAACGTTGATTCATCAGAGTTACTGTGAGACAGATCTATTACAGGAGACTGTTCAACATGAATAATATGTTGTTTATTTGGTGTTTCATATGAATAGGAATTTTCTTCATTTAATCTTGTATCAAAAGGTTGTGAATTTATCGGAAGAGTATCAATTGTTGGATTTAAAGTCTCTGGTAAGATTCCATGTTCAAGAGTGGGGTAAAGTACTTGATGAGAATTCGAACTAGATCCTCTATTGTCATGAAATTCTCCCAAGGTAGGAAGTTGATCTGAATCGGGACTAATTTCTGTATTAGATGGAAGTGCATCAACATAGCCTTCAGATGAGTGCGGAAGTTCTGATTCAGGGAAGAAATGATGATTCAGTGATTCGTCCGAAGGATTGGTAAAAGAATTTTCTTGTTGAGTCGGAGTTTGAATTAATTGCGATGAAATTTCGGAATGTAAAGCTTGTTGTTCTGAAATTTTTTATTTTTTTAGATTAGCAATAAATAAAAAACAATGCATACATTCAAAAAAAAATTTCCATACCATTTTCTTCAGGATGAAAGTCCGCAGCTTTATAGAGTGGCGGTATAGCACCAGGATACATATGAGGATTGGGAATAGGTCCTGTGAAAGGTGAATCAAATTGTGCTTGTGGTACATTGAGATTTTGTGAAGGAATCAATACTTTGTGATCTAAATTTGTCGGTACTCCATAACCAAAGTCTGGAGGTTTCACTTCTTGAGCTGGAGGACCTTGATGGAAATTCGACGTTTGAACTTCGATACCTTCATGCTGTCCTAAATCATATGACCCTGATGCTTCTGGAGGATTCGCGTAAATTGGATTACGTGCAGTTTCTTGATGTATTGGGATCCAAGGTGCAGTATTGCATGGATTACAATCTTTTCCTTTATTTATTGGTGGTGAATATGATTGGCCTTGTGGAGGTAGTGGTGGTTGTGGAAGTATTTGATTAGATCTAAAAATAGAATACCATAGCAGATTAATTAAAGAGCTAAGAATATAGATATAATAAATTAAAATAAAAATGCAAATACTTACGGATGGTATTGAGTAGCTTGAGAAACTGAAAGCGGTGGCCTGTAGGTATTTTGAGGTGGTGGAGGAGGAGGTTGTAAATATTCCGATTGAGCATTATGAAAATTACTCTTAGGCATCGGCAGTGCTGGTTGAGGTGGTAAATCTCTTCCAAAAGGATTCAACCATTTCATCAATCTGAAAAAATATCCTGGATTTTCTGTTGGTGGTGAAGATGGAGGATTCAAGTTTTTTCCGTGCTTAATAGGGCCATTTGGAAATTGAGGTTTATGATGATACTGTGGACCTGGAGGTGGTGGAGTTAAAAATTCACTTGGACCCGCAGCTCTTCTATGGTGACGACGAGGAAAGATGACCGGACGATGTCCATTATTTTTAGCCGATATCGTGCCGTGGAAATATATTAAAAAAATGAGGCACGTAAGGCTCTGTAAAAAAATTAAAATTTATTAGATTTTCTATTTAATGCTATTAAAAATAAAAAGAGTAATATTAAGACTTAGTGTAATTTATTCAACAGGGTATATAGATAACAATCACATCAAAGAAACAATGCTACTAACAATTTCTCTTTTTTGGAAACTCAAACGATCGTGTAAAAAATCATTAAGTAGCATTTATGACAAATGATGGTTAAATGATGAAATAACTTTAATACTGTAGTTATTTTAAATGATAAATAGCATAAGAAGGGAAAATAGGTGCAATAATACTAACAAGTAGGTCAATGCATGAGAATTATTTTGTACCAACGACCTCTAACTTTCTGAAAGACGTCTTCTTGAATGAGAATGCTAGTTCGGAGTATCGATGCATAAAGATAATCTAGAATTTGTCCTGTTTTTTTGTTGATGCTCACCCAAACAAAAAACATGAAATTTTGATAGCCTAATTACACATAACCTTTATAACACCTTATTATTATTTTAAGCACTTTAAATAATCACTTTTTTACCAAAAAAAAAGGTAAAACAAAAATATTATTATAGAGTTAATTATAGTAATTATAATTTAACGCTAGATATAAATCTGATGTAAATAATAATGAATGAAAGTTTATTTGAAAATTAATTTATTGTAGATAAATTATGAAATGATAGTTATTGATTATAAAATAATTATTCAAAATAATTTTTCGAGGTATTTTGCATTCACACCTATTTGTATGCATTTTATTACGTGAAATGATAACAGAAATGATTACACACTAGATATGTGGATTATTAAATGCCGGAAGGTGTATCGTGATGCAGTTAGCAATCGCCAGAAAGTGAACAAGTTAAACTGGTACTCATGAAAGACATAAATTCCCGGCATTTAATTCCACGTATCAATGAAATAACGTTCTCACGATAAATTTTCCCCATCGTTTCTTCCGTTCTCTATGTTTTCTTTCCTTTTTCTTTCTTCATTTATTTTTACTTTACTCACTAGTGAAGCTCTTCTCCCGCGCTTTCTTTCATTTCTTCCTTGTGAGCGTCCTAGAATATATAAATAGTATCGGAGGAAGAGTGAACTACATTTTAACAGCTAATCACAAGCACTAATTAATAACTTAAAACGTCCTTCGACATTACAGTAATTATGATAAGTGTGAAGTGATGATTTTAGCCTGTTTATGCATTCACCAGAATATTCTAATAAACCGTAACTAATTTGCATTCAAGTTGGTTAAATTATTATTTAATTATTTTTCATACTCAATATGTATGCTGATTTACTTACATTAATTATCTATCTAATTTGCCGGCAAATTTTAACAATTATTTATTAAGGCTGGGCTTTACTAACCTCAAATTTTTCTCGTCAAACTGTGCATTGTTTATTTTTTTTTCATGTAAAAAATATTTAGGAATATGTAGAAAAGTGGTATACACATCAGAAAATTAAGATTGATAGCACAAGTGTAATAATGATCGTAGAATAAATAATTTTTAATTGAATTTTGAGGTGTCATGGCGGATGCACTTGTCGTGAGTCGTTCACTGAAAAATTATTTATTCTACGATCATTATTACACTTGTGTTATCAATGTTTGTTTTCCGATGTGTATACCACTTTTTTACATATTCCTAAATATTTTTTACGTGAAAAAAAAATAAACAATGTACAGTTTGACGAGAAAAAATTTGAGGTGATTTGAGGCTAATAAAGCCTAACCTTAACGATTTATCAAGTTAATTGAGGTTATAACAGAAAATTTCAATCAACAATTGATACATATATATTTTATTTCAGTGCTAATAATGAAATACATCCTAACCTGTGGTCATCATAAATTAAAAGCAATATAAACGATCAAGTTATAGATAGTTAAATGATTGTATAAAGTGGTGAGACCGGTACTGAAATGAAAAGAAAACAGCATTATGGAACAAAGCAATGAGACACACGAACGGAAATTGACAACACTATATCTATATATTACAGGAGATAATGTAGGTAAGTGGGCTGTGAGGATTATGCGAGAGTCAAATCAAGCTGAATCTTTTAGCATACACGACCTAGCTATTGAGGATGCTGCATCATGGTTATTCAATATTAAACTTCAACACATGAACATACTTTATTCCATTTATTTAACATAATTTTATTTAGATAAATAAATTAATTACATATGAATTATTCATATGCATTCGAGTAAATTCACTTTCTAATGAATATCATTAGTAACTTATACCAATTAAGTTTTCAATAATAACCATTTTCTCAAGTTATTTGATATCTTATTTAAACACTTGTTAAATGAATATTATTTCCTTGAATGGTAATTATTTTTAATCGCTAAATTATTTATGAATTAGGCGGGTGATGTTGATAATTAGTATTTCAAGACATCCCTAGCATAATTAAAGGAAATTTCAGAAAAAAACCGGAGATTCGGTCGTGACTTGTATGTCGACAGATCCATCGCAATGTTAATAGGTCAACATAAAGCAAGTATGTATTAAGTCTAGTTATTCTATTTTATAAACGTTAAAATAAACCTAACTTTGTGTTCTCGTAATTCTCTCGTGGGAAAAAAGATTCTCTGGATTAAATCCTTGACTAATTCATTTTAAGAGGTCGTCTAACGGCTTGGTTGTAGCTATTATAACATGAAGTATAAAACAATAGAACTTGCGACAAGGAGAAAATTAGTAAGGAAAATATTTACAAAGTAAAGAGGAAAGATATATATTTTAAATTGAAAAGAGAAAATGGAAAATGAATAGCTAAAGAATACATCTAAGTAATTGTATTATAGTCGTAAATTAAATTAAAAGTATTTAATTTTGTGAAAAAAAAAGTATTATTCTCACTAAAAAGTATATATTTTTACTCTTTTTAATTACATTCTTTCAATATTAAATAACTTGGGTAGAGAATTTTTTTCTGATGTTTAACATTCAAATAAAAAAATTCATATGTTGGTCACACCAAATAAAAGTGCCAAGTATGAATCTTTCCTTGTGAATGTCAAGTGTTTTCACTTATTTCCGGCATATTTTTAACAAAGCCTTGAAACCTCGAAACTTCAAGAAATAATATACATGAATTTCTAACAATTTGTTTATTCAAGTTAATGTAAAAAAAAAGTCTAGCTGTTATTTAATTTTACTTTCTGTTGATGGAGTAAACTCATCATACTATTTAATCTTTTTTGATAATATAATATTGGTTACTTCATTTTAAATATAATAACTCTGATAATTATTTTCACATAATATTTATTTCTATAATAGTCCTATTGACATAATTGGTGTGAATTTTTTTTTTAAATATCTATTTCATTATCTAAACATTGACAGCATTATTTGTTTTTAAAAATGCAGAAAATAAGTGTTTCTCTATGATTGCACATAATTTATAATTAATTCATAGAATGTAATTGCATAAAAAAAGGTAAATAAATTGGAAAAATGTTGTAATTAAATTTAAATATAATAAATACTTACAAATCGCAGGTACATTTCTTAGAGATTTTTTTTGAGTAGCATTACACTTTTTGGCACAAATATTTCACTATATTATTAATTACACTAATGAATGAAAAAAGAATAAAATTAATAAAAAATTATTTTTTTCATAAATCAATATTAAGAAAAAACAAACAAACTTAAGAACCCATGTCTGTCACTATTAAACATAAATCTTATATCATGTACACGTGTGTTTTCATGTAAAATTATGAATAATATAAAAACAGAAGAAGATGTGTACTTGACCAGGGTTAAAGAAAGAGTCCATCAGTTTACAGAGGAGCAGAGTAACTTATATTCCTGAGTGTCTTCTCTCTCCAACACACCATCTACCTTGTTACGATCCCTCTACTCGTGAAATCCCATAAGTCTCTTGTATATGTATAAGTAGCTAACTTTACCTTTCCTTTTTACTACATCGTTTACTCAGAGTCCTTTATTTGAAGTCATTCTAGTAAAAGATGGTCACGTATGAAGATAGCTGATGAGATCCTGGTACCTCAATGATTTTTAATTTTTAAAACTACCTGAACTTTCAATTTTCGTGGATTTTCGTAGAAAAAAACGTACCTGTCTTAAATTGAAAACCACAGGAGATCTTGAGAAAATATCATCACAGATGTGCAGAACGTTTCAGATTGAAAAATAGCATGAGAAGACATATTTTGACACATTGAAAGATTAATACGCTTGAATGCAGAAATTTTCATCTATTCACTGGTGATATATATTATTACAAAATATTAAATCCCATCATTTCCGATTTTTTAAATCCATTATTACCAATAATAGTTGCTGTAGCATATACGATTATCCTTAGCATCACCAAGTGAGTTACCTGAAAAAGAAAAATTGATTGATTATTATATTTAAAATACTTTCAACTCAAACCGGTGATAATGATAAAATCTTCAAACAAACTAATAAAACAGAAATGATTACTCCAAGTATGAATTCAGTGCAAGTAAAAAAAAGTGTGTACATCTTAACGACTATCATAAAATTAAAATCAACATCAAGGATTGCATACAAATAATACATAATAAATTAGTAAGAAAATAAAAATAAATAGCAGCTAGTCTGAATGTATAAAATAGTTATTCATTTTTAAGCACGACACATAACAATATCAGGTGATCGAGAAACTTCCATATTTTATCAAGTAAAACCGCACCCGTTGCATCGTTACATCCAGAGTAGTGACTGTCTCGTGATTTTACTTATTCCTCATTAGAATACGTTCTCTAAATAGCATATAATATTGCAAGCTGTGACCGACAACGAGAAAGAAATCGAGGGTGAATCTGTGGAATACAAAATGGTTTTACAGAAAGCGACGAGAAAGTTGATATGACCGGGTTTAACTTCCATACGTGTCTCTTAACATTAAACATTCGATATAGCTCTTTTTATCAATGTAAATACTGTTAAATGTTCATCAAACAGTCTTTTTTTCTATTAAAATTTTTTTATTTATAATAATTCATTTTTTTCAAGATAAAATTATGTTAAGTATATTGATGTCTTTAGTATTAAAAAATGTTTATGACTTTTAATAACAATGATAATTTTCACACTCTAAGCTGGCTCATAAATTCTCGTAGCTTTATCTGAATAAAAATTGTCCTTGCATCACAGAAAATGATATAAATTGAAATATCAAGTTGTTTTTAAGAATATTCTGGTGCTCTCAAGAATAAGTAATTTTTGAATTAAGCAATAAAATTTACCTCAACGATGACTGTGGTGTTTATTAATATTAAAAAATCAAACCCATCGTTAATTATTTTTACATTCAGTTTTATTTTAATATTAGTCATTTCATTTAAATTATCTGCAACGCAAACTACTGGAACTACAGTTACTGATCCTTGTGGAGGAAGTTTGGGTCGGATTGCTGATCCCAATGACGCTGATTGTCAAATCTATTTCTACTGCTTTTATAATGGATTTAATATTTCATACTGGAAGTTGAAATGTCCAAATAAATTAGTATTTAGGCCTCTTACAAGGACGTGTGTATCTAGGAGAATTTATCAATGTAATCAAATAACCACACCTCCAAGCTGTCTATGTTCAACTGGATCTTCTTCAACTGCTGCTTCAACAACTCCTTCAACTGTTTCTCCAACAACTCCTCCAGCATCTCCAACTATTACTCCAACAACTGTTTCGTCTACTTCAACACTTGCCTCAACAACTGCTCCAGCTTCTCCAACTATTACTCCGGCATCTCCAACTGATTCTTCTCCAACTCCTCCGACTACTGAAGTTTCAGTTACTGTATAACCTATTTCATTATCAAATATAAAATTTAAAACATACTTGGCATCAGTTATACTCTCTGAAATTAGGATATTATTTATCTAAAAATTGTGTAAAAAAATTCAACGCTAAATATTACCAATCAATGAAACTTGTTTTCAAAGTTGAAAGGCCACTCTTTACTAACTAATCGTATAAAATAGTTTTCCTTTCACGCAAAATCTAATAATTTACGACGATGGCGAAGTGATATTCTCTAAACGATTTTAATCAAATTATACTATGATTTGAATATTGAGTTTAATTAGTTTTCAAGAAAATTTAAATATAAAAGACTACATCATTTTAAGAAGACTGTATTATTATATTTAAATGAGAAATAAAAAATATATTTTAGTGGTATTATTTTTTGAGATTTATTATAAATTAAAAATTGTGTTAAATATGATAATAAGAGTACTAGTATCCTACTTCTACTTACACTAGTATCTGAAGGACACTTTACCAATATCTTAGTGAAAGGTGGTTCTTTTTTCGTCGGATCATTCTGTCAATTTCATTTATCTCTTTGCAGTCTCGTCTCAATCGTCTGAAAAAAATCATTGGTAATATTATTAAAAAATTCTTGCTCTAAACTATTATAATAATTATAACAAAGTATTACCGGTTAATGATGTGGTTAATTATAATATTTATTATCTATTATATTTTTAAAGTTTTGTTTAATTGGTTTCGTCCACGAAAATTTCCTCCAGGTAAAAATAAAAAAAAATTTCTATTATTAATAATTAAGTCCAACGGAAGGTTTAAAAAAAAATGTTTACAGGTCCATTAGGATTACCTTTCGTTCATAATATATTTGATCTAAAGAATCTTGTACAAAAAACAGGTTCTCATGGCAATGCTTGGTGCCAATTGGCAAAAGAATATGGCTCAGTAGTAGGTCTGAGATTAGGTTTAGCTGATCCATTGATCATTGTATCAGGTCGAGATGCAGTGATGGAAGTACTCAGACGATCTGAATTTGATGGACGACCGAATGATTTTATGTTTACTCGTCGAACCATGGGAAAAAAGCGAGGTATTTTATTTACGGATGGAAAAGTTTGGAATGACCAAAGAAGGTAAGAAAATAATAGCCTATTGTTACATAAAAAATACATTTCCAAAATCATTAAAATAATATAAGAATTTTTTTCTAGATTTTCTTTGAAAAATTTAAAAAATTTCGGTTGGGAAAAACAAACTATGGAAGAACTCATTTTAGAGGATGCAGTTAATTTGAACAAACTTATTGAGCAAACATCTGACAATGGATTAGTAAAAAATTTAAATGAACTAATTACATTAGCTGTCCTCAATAGTTTATGGTCAATGTTAACAGGTGTAAGGTAATGTTTATTTATTAAATGTATCTGAAGAAATATTGAAGTCTTCTTTCCTTGAAGATATAATATTGGAAAGCGTCAAACAAAACTTATCAACATTGTTGACATGGTAAACGATGCAGTTAAAGAATCTAATGTATCCGGTGGTTTGCTGAATCATTTTCCATTTTTAAGATATCTAGCACCAAGGTCTTCAGGTTACAAGACAATATCAGAAAGATTCGACAGGATATGGTCATTTTTTTCAGTAAAAATTTTTTAGAAAATTACTATTATCATTAAAAATGATGATTCTACACTCCACTGTTTTTAATTTACATTCTTTTAGGATGAAATTACATCACATAAAGAGACTCGTCATGCTGGATTATATAGAAGCTTAATTGACGTATACTTAGAACAAATTGATGCAGACAAAAATAATCCAGATTCAACATTTAATGGTAAAATTATCTGAATCTATCAATCGATCATTTAAATTCCATATTGTTTTAAAATTAATATAATTTGAGATTAGATATGGAACTGATTGCTGTTCTTAAGGATTTATTTTCTGCCGGCATTGATACAACGAGAAATAGTATTGGATTTACAATAGGATATTTAACAATTTATCCTCAAATTCAACATAAAGTTCATGAGGAAATTGACAGAATTATAGGCAGAGATAATTTACCTTCTTTGAACTCACGAAATTCGTATGTAATTTTATGCTTCACTGTAATTAAACACGAAATGAAACAAATTAATATATGATTGATTTAGCATGCCATATTTGAATGCAACACTTACTGAAGTTTTACGGCTTGCAAACATTGGACCAACAACTATCCCTCACCGGGCAACAGTAAATACTATTTTAAAAGGCTATGACATTAAAAAAAATTACACTATATTACCGAATCTTATGAGTGTTCATAAAGATAAAGAACATTGGGGTGATCCTGAAGTATTTCGACCTGAAAGGTTTATTGATGAAAATGGAGCATTTATTAATGATTCATGGATTATACCTTTTGGAGTAGGTTAGTAGTACTTTACTATTATTCAATTCAATAGTTTATTAATTGTCTATTTTATTCAGGGCGACGAAAATGTCTAGGAGAAGGATTAGCAAAAAGCAGTCATTTTCTTTTTGTTGCCTGTTTATTGCAGAGATTTAAATTTATTTTGCCTCCAGGGCAAGAAAGACCTGTCATGACTGGTATCGATGGATTCACACTTTCTCCTCCTGTTTTCGATATATTAATTTATCCCAGATGATTATTGTCAGTTATTTGTTTTATTTTTAATATTTACATATTTATATAAAATAAGTGATAAACTGCAAAAATTCAATAATCAATGCATTTAATGATTTTTAATTTTTTACCAAAAGTTTTTTAGAAATATATATCATAAACTCTGGAATGAATAAAATTGATAAACTTTCAGAAAAAAATTCATAAAAAAGTGGTCCCTTGTCTATGTTAACCTTGAATCTTTTCTTGTAATAATTTTTCCAATTTACGCATATCAGTAGCAAAATTACGAATTCCTTCACTCAATTTATCTGTTGCCATTTGATCTTCATTCATCATCCATCGAAAGTCAGCCTCTTTGAGACTTATTTTTTCAAGATCACTTTTTTTGGCAGTTTCTGGAGCGAGCATTTTACGAACAGGTTCATTGCTTTTCTCAAGTTCTTCTAACAACTTTGGACTTATAGTCAAGTAATCACAACCAGCAAGTTCTTTAATTTCTCCAATATTTCGGAATGAAGCACCCATTACTACAGTTTTATATCCAAATTTTTTGTAATAGTTATAAATTTTTGTCACTGAAAGGACACCAGGATCGTCTTTTGGCTCAAAAGATTTTTTATCAGTGTTTTTAACATACCTAAATAAAAAAAAACGAATAAAGTACAAATTGTATACAATTAATATTAAATATTGTTTTACCAATCCAAAATTCGTCCAACAAATGGAGAAATTAAAGTAACTCCAGCTTCTGCACAGGCCACAGCTTGAGCAAATGAAAATAGTAGAGTAAGATTACAATGGATTCCATAATTATCTTCAAGTTCTCTGATAAAAATATATTCAATTAGTTTTCCTTTTAAATTTATTGAATATAAATATTTTTTTTATTTAATTATAATTTATTTTAACTTACTTAGCTGCTTGGATACCTTCCCAAGTTGATGCAAGTTTTATAAGAATTCTTTCTTTACTGATACCTGCTTCTTCATACAAAGCAATTAACTTTTTAGCTTTTTCTATACTACCCTCTTTATCAAAAGATAGTCTAGCATCGACTTCTGTAGAAACCCTTCCAGGAATGATATTCAAAATTTCTTGTCCAAAAAGAACACAAGTCATATCGATAGCGGCTTCTATTTGCTCTTCAAGATTACTATTATAATAAAAAATAAAAATGTTGTTAATGATTGTTTTTTATATTAGTATTCACGTCACAATATAAACTTAAATGATTTCATTTTTTTACCTGCCGGTTTTTTTACCATATTGAACAGCTTTATCTATTAAGTGAGCATATTTTTTTTGATTTGCAGCAGCAAGAATCAAAGATGGATTTGTTGTTGCATCTGTAGGTTTGAATTGTTCCATAGCTGTAAATTCATGTTTATAGTTTATTTTATTGATAGCAATGATAATATTATCGATAGATTTATATTCAATAGAAGTAACCAATTAAATATTGAAATAAAAACAATGAGGGTTATAAGAAGTGATTTAATTTCTCTAGTATGCATTATTTAAAAATGGAGTAGTATCAACCACGTGGTGCTCGTACCACTTCAAGATATATAGTACATATACAGAAAATACTTTTTAATTTGAAATATTCAACAGGTGACAGTCGAAAAATTTAATAAAAAAATAAACATTGACATCAACTATCCATCATATCCCTACTTATGTTATTTGTATAATTAATATTCTTCATACTTGATCATTCTATGATTACGCCACATCGTTGCAAAAAAAAGTTTTTCTATTTATCGGAGTGAAATAATAAAAATATTACCATGAAAGTCTCCAGTATCAGCTACAACTGTTGTAAAAGACTTCAATTGTTCTAAAGAATTAGACAACTTAGCTTTCTTACTGTGTGGACTACTCATTTTTAATCAAAAGATTTATAAATTTTAGATAAATGAAATTTTTGCAGTATCACGCTTATAATTTGATATGATGAATCAGGAACGGCTGAAAGCAACTGAGTCGTTACAACTGATAAATATTTTTCAGTAAATTATACATTTGCATATACTTACATGTTTAGTGTTCTTAGTATCCAACGCATTCTTATTTCGCTGATAAACTGACGTTCGATATTATACCGATAGAGGGCAGAAACAACTTATTCTAAACTCGACGGAAATTTCAAAAATTAGAGTAGTTTTTCGTAAAGTAGGATCGTAATTTTCTAATTTCTTCGCCAATTTACATTTTTACTTACAAATTTTAGTCCCAAATTAAACCTTATTGAATGATGCAGTGTGCTAAATTACAATTTTAATTATTCAATTCATTTTGTTATTAAGAAAATTGAAAAGAAAATTAAATAATTATGAATTGATTTGCTGTGCTTCAACGCCAGGATAGCCGCTACAAAATTATAAAAAGGAAAAGAGAATTACTTATTTCGATAGAAAGATAATAAGTAGCCGAACTTTACAATTAGAGGAGTTTTATTTTTTTTCCGCTAAAAAATGGGATTGCTTTGATGTGGATGTTCGACCACTCATTATCTGTTGCTTGATGTTGGAAGATATGATGTCAGAACGAAAATCCATGTCTTAATTTTTGAAATACGATGTTACTGGAAATAGCTATGATTTTAGCATAAATTATGCTTGGATCATAATTTTGACTAGTGCAATGGAAAGCTCTCGCTCCCAGGAATCCATTGATATGCTCATTGTCTATGTATGTCTTATAGATCGTAAGTTATTAGCGAAAAACAAAGTTATGCTGAAACGAAACATAAGAAAACCTTTAAACGCTCATAACTCGGAAACTATGCGAGATACGGCATTTTTGACGGGGATATCCTATAGGGGGGATCAAATTTTTTACTCAGGTCCAGATCTTTCATATGAGCCCTCGATCAACCCCGTAGCATCATATGCATAGGAGTTATGCATATTTTTATGTATTACAGTTTCTCATGAATATCTTGCGATTTTTCTGACCAAACACAGTCAACAGCCAGTGTTTTGGAATCGTCTCACCAAGATCTTCCTAACGACATCCATGATTTTATGATCCAAGCATAAACACGGTTACTTGCATTTTTTTGAGACCAAAAGAACAATTTTTCCAATTTCAACGATTGAGTCGGTTACACTTTCGAAAATTCAATCCATAACCCTTGAAAACAGGCAAGACTTTGAGCCTTAAGAACTATCAGACGGTAAGTCCGAAAATATTTTTTAGGGTCGTTTTAAAAACTTCAGAATCTCAGCTAAACATACATATCCATGAAAAACGTGTTACAAATTTATTTCACCCTTAAAATTGCAAAAATTGAGGAAAAGTCGCACTTTTTCTGGAAGTTCGTAAAGTATTTTGGCGATTTTAGGGGTGAAGGAATTTTTTTATATACTTTTTATAGATATATATGTCTAGCGTGGATTCTGAACTTTCTAAATATTTCCCAACAATTACAATTGTACAATTCTTTCACGAGTTATAGAGGTCAAAAGGCAAGGGGTGGATAATTTTTTGTCCCTTCCGCTGACTTCTAACCCTATCCACCCCTTGCCTTTTGACCTCTATAACTCGTGAAAGAATTGTACAATTGTAATTGTTGGGAAATATTTAGAAAGTTCAGAATCCACGCTAGACATATATATCTATAAAAAGTATATAAAAAAATTCCTTCACCCCTAAAATCGCCAAAATACTTTACGAACTTCCAGAAAAAGTGCGACTTTTCCTCAATTTTTGCAATTTTAAGGGTGAAATAAATTTGTAACACGTTTTTCATGGATATGTATGTTTAGCTGAGATTCTGAAGTTTTTAAAACGACCCTAAAAAATATTTTCGGACTTACCGTCTGATAGTTCTTAAGGCTCAAAGTCTTGCCTGTTTTCAAGGGTTATGAATTGAATTTTCGAAAGTGTAACCGACTCAATCGTTGAAATTGGAAAAATTGTTCTTTTGGTCTCAAAAAAATGCAAGTAACCGTGTTTATGCTTGGATCATAAAATCATGGATGTCGTTAGGAAGATCTTGGTGAGACGATTCCAAAACACTGGCTGTTGACTGTGTTTGGTCAGAAAAATCGCAAGATATTCATGAGAAACTGTAATACATAAAAATATGCATAACTCCTATGCATATGATGCTACGGGGTTGATCGAGGGCTCATATGAAAGATCTGGACCTGAGTAAAAAATTTGATCCCCCCTATAGGATATCCCCGTCAAAAATGCCGTATCTCGCATAGTTTCCGAGTTATGAGCGTTTAAAGGTTTTCTTATGTTTCGTTTCAGCATAACTTTGTTTTTCGCTAATAACTTACGATCTATAAGACATACATAGACAATGAGCATATCAATGGATTCCTGGGAGCGAGAGCTTTCTATTGCACTAGTCAAAATTATGATCCAAGCATAATTTATGCTAAAATCATAGCTATTTCCAGTAACATCGTATTTCAAAAATTAAGGCATGGATTTTCGTTCTGACATCATATCTTCCAACATCAAGCAACAGAGAATGAGTGGTCGAACATCAACATCAAAGCAATCCCATTTTTTAGCATCATGATAACGATAATGCGATAAAGATAATAACAATAATCCTCGATCGAATGCTCTAGTATTGTCTGTTGAAGATGTTTTGATGATCTCAGATTCTAAAAATTAGAAAACTACGAACTTACGTGTTTAGATAAGAGGGAACCAGGCAGCTTTCTGACTTGATGCCAGCCTTAAAAATAATTTCCAATAATAATATTTTTTTCTTTATTTACAGCAAATGTATTACAATAAAATACTCCAATTAATATTAAACGTTTTTATACTTTATTAATGTTATTTTGTAAATAATAATTTCTCTTTATTAATTTTTATCAATACAAAAATATTCAGACTTTAAATATTCCATTGAATAGTATAATATGTTGATTCTCATTATCTTCATCAAATACTTCCTTTGATGAATTTAAATATTTCCATAGATAACTTTGTTGTGATAATGATAAAAATTTACATTCTTCTTAAATTTAACACTTATTGGTTATGGAATATTTTTAATGATACAAATAAACTATGATTAATTAATGAAAAAAATAAGTTTTAAAATACTTAAAATTTACAATTAATACTATGATTTAATATTACAATCATTATTGTAAAGAATAATGTATTTAAAAATGATATATTCATTCCCACTAAAACATATTAATTTAAAAAAATAAAAAACCAATGATTAAAATCTTTATTAAATTTTTTCTAAAAGTGATTGTTTACTTATAGGCTTGGATTTTGGCTGATGACTGTACATAAAAATTGAGCAAATGACTAAAATAGCACCTAATGCAAACTGCAGTGTTAATTTGAAATTAAACAAATATATTGATGCAATGCATGAAAGTATAATAGCTAAAGATGTAGCAAAACCTTTAAGAATATTATCCGCATGTTTGACAACTAATGCCACAATTAATCCACCTCCAGCTTGAAGTACAACTAAATAATTAATAAACCAGTCATATCCAAAAAAGAATCCTTGCTTACTTATGAGATCACCATCTTTTACATAACAGCTTAGTAACCCAAATGGTACAGATAGCAAACTTAGTTGAACATTTCTCATCCATACTGAAATATCAGATCCTTTCAGGATTTTTTCAAAATAAATGCCCGCAAAACCTGAGAGAAAACATGCACCAAGTGCAGCAGTAACACCTAATAAACGATTTTGTGAAATTCCTGATGGTACTGCGGTTGGTCCACTTTCAGACATTTGAACAAGAACAACTCCAATTAACAACAATACTAAAGCTCCCCATTGAATCTTGATCAATGTTTTTCGGAGTATCACAACAGCAAAAAATGCAGTTGTCAATATTTTTAATTGATAAGTAACCTGTTATATATCAAATAATAATATTAAAATATATTTTAGCTATCATAATTAATTTGATATCCAAGATAATATTAACCTGATATGTGGCAGCGTCTAGATTAGATGCTGATACATACAAAAGATTATTTTGTATTAAATAAACTATGGAAGGAACGCAAACTTTGAGAGTATCTATTGGTTGTTTCACTATTGTTGCGTTTAAAGAATTTATAAATTTTTTCAAATTTCCTTCTTCAAAATAAACTAGAACAAGGCATGTGATACATTTAACTATCTCTGCCATAACAACCGCTGAAACATATAATAAAATTTATCAGTCATTCGTGTAATTGATGTATGATAATATTGAATGAGTAGTATAAAGAATAATATATCATACCTGTTGAAGAAAGAAACATATCACCGGCTCGAATTCTCGCATATCTCATGCTAAGTCCTACTAAAGCATTTTGGAGTGTCAGTGTTATGAGACTGACATACTTTAGCATTTGATTATTTTCTAAAATATTACGTACAACCATTAGATATATTTTTCTTAACTATCTATAACATAATTTAATATAAAAATATACTTACGTTGTTGTAGTTTATTCATTTTGACAGACTTTTTGTAATTAAAATAACTAACTTACTATACACAAAGTTATACTTGTCAATTACATTTTTCTGAAAGAAAGTTTATTATATTTTAATTGAAAAAACAGTTACAAAATAATGGAAATTTTATACTATAAATATCATTCGAATATTATGAAATATAATTGTGCCTCCAAAATATAATTTAAATTTAAAACTTTCCCATGTAGTTGGGCTTATTATATTTTCAAATATTTCAATGTTTTTCATTTAATTTAAAATAAAGTGTATTAGCCATTTCTGCTTGTTGTATTAAATTTATTTAAATACATACGACAAAGGTAAAATTGCCCAACCTTATATTGTATATATTGCAAAATCTTGACTTATACTAATCAAATCTATATATTGCGCGAATCCACAATATGTTGTATTATCAATTACACTGACAACTGGCACGTGTAACGTATTGAACTGACTGAAGTTAGTTGTGGAAGAAGTTAATATGTCAGCATGAAAAGTTTCTAGCATTCTGTATTTTACCTAAAGAAACTTTTTTTCTGAATTAAACTTTGAATATAATTTAAAAGCAATTAATAAGTATCTTCAAAATGATTTGGGAAAAGTTGTTAATTAGTATTCCATTAAAAAATGAGTCATAATGACTGAATGTGTAAATAGAGATATATAGTGCCTGTGTATTGTCAGCCTTGAAACAATTAACCATTGACTGTTACCTAGGGAATCTTTTGTACTTGCTGAGCCAATGTATTTACACTTCAAAAACGTGATAAAATTAAATTTATTGAAGTAGAAGGTATAAACTACTTTCGAATAGTGATTTATAAATCGAGCTACAGTATTTACAAGTGCTAATAATTTGGCTTTCGTTAAATTTGTTGTTCATTTTGTATTTTATAAAAAAGATTTGCAATCATGTCTCCCACCAATTCTGATCAAAAGTAATTTACTAATCAGAGAGAAGACTTCTCTTTGAATTTATTTATTTTCTATTTACATATTTTTTCCATTGTTTTAATGTACTTTTTTTTATATTTCTAGAATGTCTAGTCATAAAAGAACAGATTACATATCTTGGGATGATTATTTTATGGGAGTTGCATTTTTAGCAGCTCGAAGAAGCAAAGACCCGGTAACTGCTGTTGGAGCATGTATTGTTGATAAGCAGAAGAGAATAGTAGCGATAGGATATAATGGAATGCCACGAGGCTGTAGTGATGATGAATTTCCTTGGACTAAATATACTGAGGATGAATTAGACTCCAAACATTTTTATGGTATTTTTATAAATACTATTAGAAATATCAAATTCATAAAATACATTGATTTTAGTTTGCCATGCAGAAGCAAATGCTATTTTAAATAAAAATTCACACGATGTCGAGAATTGTACGATGTATGTTGGATTATTTCCGTGCAATGAATGTGCAAAATTAATCATACAATCAGGCATTAAAACTGTTATCTATATGTCTGATAAGCATAGTCATAAAACGAAAACCATAGCATCAAAACGACTTTTAGATGCTGCGAAAGTTGAATACCGGTATGTGCACATAAATGATTAAATTTAGACACAATAAATAGTATAAATTAAAATAATGACTTAATAAAAAAAAATAAACTCTTTTATTGTGTACAGGCAACATATTCCAGAAACGGAAAAAATAGTAATTGATTTTAGTGCAATAAATTGGAATCAACAAAATCAAGCACCTGAGACTCCATTAAAAAAGTTGACGCTTTATAAGTAAAAGATTTTATTTTTTCAATCATGATAGATAAGATATGATACACAATTCAACTTTTCAATGAGAATAGCACGCAAATCGTAAAAGGATAACTATATTTACATTTAAATTAATTATTGTTATTAAAAACATAAGGTTGAAGCTGTAAAGCAATTTTATAATCTATATTTACTTATATCATTAAAGCAAAAATTGTATATTTTTACACTTGCTTTATTAATTATAGTGAGGTCTGATGAATAATGTTTTAATGATTTTTATATTTAGTTGGACGTGTTTGTACAAGACAAATAAAAATTATATATTTTTCACTATATTTTCGTAAATGTGAATTATAAATAAAATTTATTACAAGTATTCAGACAATATTTGAGGATATTTAACACATTTGGCAAAAGTCTTGTATCATTAATGAAAATTTTGTATTGTTGACTTGAATTGAATAAGCACTGATTGATGCTATATAAACTTTGTGTACTGCAGTCTTATTTACACTATTTTGGTGTCGTCTAAAATACCCTCATAATTAAACCAGTTATAAAAAAGTATTTCGTTTTTTTTAACAAATATCAATTTCATCAGTTTTAAAACAGCTAAACGAAGTATAATAAACATATATTTCAACGTAATATTATAAATTTGCAAAAAGTAATTTTTTTATGAGTTTACTAGAGTTATTTATTGATAGCAGACATTTCACTATAAGAAATCCATCGAAAATGACGATTTAATAATATTTATATATTGAGGTACTAATTTGAGGTAAAGATTGGAGCATCTAATAAATTATATATATTTTTGTTATTGAACAAAAATTTTTTAATATATGCTATGATGCATAAAAAATATTTTTTTTCATTCATTTATGATACTTCACTAATATTTTTTTCCTAAAAAATCTAAAATAATCATACCCAAGAAGTTTTTCTAAATAATATCATTCAATTATATCAAAAAATTCAAAGAATTTTCAATTAAAATGTACTACTATTAAAATTTCATGATTTATTCGCGTAAGAATAAGGTAGTCTTTATCATTATTTATACCTTCCTACTGAAAATTCGGTTCTGAAAGATTATAAATTATTTATAACTTTAATTAATTACCTAACGATGAATTAAGATATTAAATAGTAACAATTTTTTGTTAAATAATATTTTCAAATAAACAATGTAAAACCATCGTTAGCTATTAGAGCTCCAATCTGACCATATCGTTAGGAGGGAAAACATGAATTGAAAAATCCAAGTTACAAAAGTGTAATGGAAATAATTATTATAGATTTAAAGTTCAATATTATATACGTGTTTTGTTTTGAGGTCGACACATATTGGGTTGTTATTACAGAAAGTTAACTTCATATGATTCCGATAACAGTCATGCCTAATGCAAATAGTAGAACTTTTACGAGGACTCTACACAGTAGAGTGTCATTTTTAGATATTAATTTTAAACCATTTATTTCACTTGATTCAATGGAAAAAGATGATGTAGAATATGTGAACATAAACAATGAATATGTTTATGAATATTTTTCGTTAATGAATTTTGCACGCACCCTGTACACAAATACAGTTCGACACATACAAAGGGTTTTATCACGTTCCTCATGTCATTCGAAAAATTCAATCAACTCTCACGTTAGAACGCTTTCAATCGTTTCTACGATTATTATCAATTGAACATATCTAATGTCCTTGGTATTTTATTTAAATTCCAAACTACGCTATATTCGACAATGTTAACACACGTCGTTAATTTATTAAGATTGTTTATCAGCACTGTTTTAAGAACACTATTATCTTTCACTTAATACAATTCTTTATCAATAAGGGTCAAAGGCCGTTGATCACACGCTCAATTTCATTAACCTTGATTTATTTATTTAATTTTTATTCAATAATAATTTATTCCTTCCATGACTTTTCCATAAATATTTGTTGATAAGAAGATGAAAGCGTATTGTTACGCATCCACGTTATGATCAATCACATAGGTCGAAGTGAGCTCAATTTATGATCAATTTTTGATAGAATTTTCTTTGTCTTGATGATTAACAGTGGTGCTCTTTGATTCTGGTGGTCTAAATGCATTAGCATAAGGAAAACGCTTGTGACATTTTGCCATATATTCGTCTATTGCAGAATCACAAGTACCAAAATCTTTATTACAGAGAGCTTCCAGCACCCTCGTACAATTATTTAAATTCACACCGTCGAGTCCATCAAGATTAGTGACAAGTGAGAGAGCTTTTGTTTGAGCAGTGGGATCTAAGAAGTATAACATTCTTCCGGCTTGCAATAAATGCGGTAATGAATTGCTATTTTTCTTTAAGAAATCAGCGTTGAATTGTACAGGATCTGTATTTGAAAAGATTTCGCTGGTTTGTCGTTTGACAACTTCAGCAACTGGACCTTCAAGATGCTGAACTGACGTAAGTCGTAAAAAGCGTACCAAGCAAGAATGAAGTTCAGGATTGTTAGCGTCTAGTCGATGGGCTCGTTTGATTGATTGTAACATCAAAAGAATCTTACCTGTAAATTAAAAAAAAAAAACGTTTTATAGTTTCAATTTATGATAATAATATTTTACAACACATACCTTTACGAATGTAGATTTCAAATGCCATCAGGTGAGTTTCTATCCGATCGGCTGCCAAATTTTGTAAAGGTTGCAAAAATTTAATTGCCTGTTCAAGAGGATCATCAGCCTATAATTAAATACATAGATAAGTCATTGATATATTAATATTATTAATAAAGATAATATAACAATTATATTTACTCTTTCAAGTTTTTCTGGAATTAATTCATCCAAAGTCGGCTGTTCAAAATCAGGATCTGTCTGTTGACGAGACTTGTTGTGCTGCTCTCTTTTTTCTTGAGCTTGAGCAGCTTGCTGTCGTTCAAGTTCAGCCTTTCTGCGTTGCTTTCGTTGCTTGTTCCTTAATTTTTTTAGTTCTGACGGTGCCAGATTTTCTAAAATGAGAGAAATCAAAGAAAGTAGAGTAATGTAAATAAGAAAATAAAAAAAAAAAGTTTATATATACTTTCACTGTCAGCAATTTCTATTGATATATTTTTGATTAGTTTTTCTTTTCCAATAAACTTATATTTTGTAAAATCATCCAATAGTTTCTATTCCTTATAAATCATTTTTTTACTAATGACAGTCAACATTATACTCTATAACAGTTAACTATATTCTGATCAAAGAAAGTACAGTTATGTGAATCGATATGAAAATGAATGATTAATTAAACAAATCTACATTTTACAATATAAACCTGTGATTTAATCACTTGGTATGAATTTGATTGTTATAGTATAAAAATTACTGAATTCATACGCTTTCCAATTATGTAAGAAATATTTAAGCCTTTATTGTAGCACAGCAAAGATGAGGATATGCTCAGTAAGTTTGGATATATATATACATAGAAAAAAGTTCAATCTTATGTATATTTAACATGTGAACATAAAATATTTCTATATCCATTATTCCAGGGTAATTTTTATTACGTAAAATTGTGGATTCCTTCGATCGAATGTGTATAAGTGTTACAAAATATGTGTAAGCGATATCACGCTTATTCAATTTCACTACAATTTCTAAATTCTAACACCGCGACGAGTTATGTCTAGGCTCTTGTGTGAATTACATTTAATTTATTATATTTTTCATTTTAAGAAAAAAATACATTTCAAAGATCAATTAAAATAACATCGAACATGGCAATAATTCTTTTTCCATTTCATTTAAATTTAAAGCCAGGTAGTTTTATTTCCTTAATACTAATAATTATCATGGAAAGGCTCTAATTAGTGTTATTAATTGTTATATTATATTTTATTACGGATTATTTTTAAAGTTTACTCAATTTTTTAGTACCACTAACATACTAATGTCTATAAATAATCATTTTTATCTTCAAAGTTTGGTCAAAATTTAGATATACACCCATTAAGTCAAATAATTCTTTTTTATTCGCTATATCATTGAATGAGATAATTTGAAATTTAAAGAAACATAAAATGTAAAAAAGTCATTTTATTATTTTAAAATTCTTTGATCATATTACATGTTGATCAAGTAGTTAAGTCAATCCCTGGTAGAAGTTATTCAAAGACGAATAAGAAAGGTTGAAGATTTATTGTTTCAACGATAACATTATCTTGTTAGATAAAAATAATTATAACATTTGTAACTCCACTAAATCCAGTAATTTTTATGCAATAGAAAGTTTTCCCAGGAGAATGGTTAAAATATATTTTTTTCTAATTCAGATTTTATGTCTTAAGGGAACTGTAGTTGTTGCAGGTGATTCGAAATATGTTTATCAAAGCAGCTCTCGACCCTTGTGTGAATTCTCGTGCACTTTAGCAAGTTACTAGGTCGATCAACGGGATATTCAATTGTGTCGAAGGTATGCAGACTATATTTTTACCGATTTTTCCTCTTTCTCTCTTACATGTCTCCTGGGTAGAGTCACTCGAGTTAAACAACTGCAACGACCACGCCTTTAATTCATCCTATATGCAGACTAAAACCTCTCGCTTTTTGATTCATTATGTCTCCATTTTGCATCTTACGAAATATTACACAAAGGCAAAATAGATCAAACGTATGATCATGAATCTATAATTAAATTAATTTGTGATATGAAATAAAGATGATAGTATTCATGCTCATGTAAATTAACATATTCCTTCTGTCCTTCTGACTTCTCATTATGAATAATATCATGAAACGACTAACTTGAGAATCATTATTAAAAATATAATTGCAATTTCACAATTTGCACTTTGCTTTTGTTCAGTCTAAAAAAAGGACAAGGACGTTTAAAAAATCTTTGTCAAATGTGATTATTACAAAGTGAAGAAAAAAAAAATTTTTTTTTTCTTTTCAGGACATTTAAAATAATTTAATAATTGAATAAAAATTGTTCAACCTTCGTTCAGCTTATTAAGATAAAAATTCAATTAAAAATTAAACGAATCAAAATTTTTTCTTCCTTCCTCTTAATTTATTCAGATATCTCTTTGGGTTTTTCAATGATCAAATGAATCACGAATGATAATTATATTTTTCAAAGACAGTAAATTGTATCGATGGATGACATCTAATCACTCCAGTCATTTATGGATGTATTCAATATTTGATTGAGTAATCGTTCTTTGATACTTCTCAGAATGATTACCTACTGCGTATAAACATGGATCACGATGTAACCTCATTTGTCTTTGCGGAAGTGATAGTCTTAATATTGAAAATGCTCATGAAACGTTTCTTTCATTAAACATTGTATCTCAGTTACCATCAATATTTTTTGTTTATTAAATGACGGCACAGCTAATGAAGTTGCATTGAATTAATCAATATTTTTATATTATACCACATTTCATTAAAATTATTACTCAATAACAAATATGTTTTTATCATCAATTCTAGTTAAATGTTTTTAAATCATTTCCAACGAAGTATCTTGCTTATTATAACTTTTTTTTTTTGCATTGTATGCAAGTTTAGTATTTGCAATAATTTGTAACTGTTAAATAGCATGAATTAATCATAATTCGTTACAGAGAGTCAATCAAAATAAACGGGTGAAAACAACATTATCATAAATGAGCCGTACATGAAAGTCACAAGAGGATTACAATGTTTTACAAAATTACATAGAATAAAATAGAATGTTTTTATAAAAATCAGTCTTTTTAACTTTCAAAAAAATTTCTAATCAGCTAAATAAATATTATTAGATCAAAAAAGTGCCTTTATTAATTAGATATCAATTATGTTATTGAATCAGCACAGTATGAAGCAAAAACTAATATTACCACTTGACATAAAGTTTTTTAAGAATTTAGAATTTTCAGCAATTACTTAACAATGTAAGAAATAATACGCAATCCTAATTACGATGTGTTAGCAGGTTTATTGATAGTAGTTTGAAGGTAAAATTGGAATAAACTGGACGGATATATGTATTCATATATCTTGAGGAACATGAGACAAGCTTAGAGATCTATTGGAGTACAAAATCGTCTTTCAAGAGATAAAGCATGGATACCAGGTGATTCGAGACTTAGATATCACGTTGATTTTTCTGTATCAGCAAAAGTGTGGTGTATGGTGAAGGGTGTGTACAACCATGCACCACGTTAAACCATGATTAGGCGTGGCACAATGTTCTCTTAGAGAAATAAGAAAGGAACCGACATAGCCATGATTATCGACGAGTTGGAAAGGCCTTTACCAGAAGAGGAATGCACGACGCCACTGGAATGTTCAATTCTCATGCTAATTCATGTGAATATTCTTAAATTAAATGACATCACTCTGATTATTGTTTTCCTTAAAATAGATCTGATATACAGATCTACTTCTAAATCGGATTAAAAATCATCAAAACAAGACATAAAAGGGATTTGTAATTCATAGAACAACCAAGTCATCATCATTATTTTAATTAGCATTCTAGTAGTTGATGGAAAATAAAATATTTTGAAAAAGGAATGAAATTCATGACGAAATAAAAGAAGTCAGAAAGAGACTAGTTGAGGAGTGACGGATGAAATAACGACGATGAATTTATAATGTCGGTTTTGTAGCGAAAGAAAAGTCTATTTGCGCTTGGTAGAGCACCAACCGCAATAAGAAAGCGTCGGGAAGAAAAAGAAAGACCAGGAACTGAAGACGAAATTCACCGACGTGTAATTCACATTTGCTCGAGTTAGATTCCGTTATGGTGACTGGTAAAACTTAATAGATTTAATCTCTGATTATGCACTGTGTACTTGAAATATATACTAATAATAACAAATAATATACATATATATCTATTTTACTGAATTCATTATTGAATATAAATTTATAAACTCTGTGACTCAATATGACATGATTAGTCATCAATCATTTTTAATATTCCCACATTAATTCACTTAGTGATTTATTAATTACAATTGAAATCTCAATATAAGTTAAACGTAATACGACTTAATGAACTATCAAATAAATTTGATTAATTTAACAGAAAATGTAATTTTATTTAATGAATGAATATAAAGAAAAAGAAATTTGCTATTTATGGTCTTTAATGACTCTATTATATACATATGTAAAATAACAATAAATGAAATCGTGTTAAGCATGAGAGAGTAAACAAAATCGTGACTATTATAAACGCGACACTTTCCCCGCGTGAATGATGCACCTTCACTTGGTACTTTTTTTTTTAAGGATTTCTTTTAAACGTTGTTCATCCTCTTTTTACAAGGTCATTGTACGTACAGTCCGCGACACAAGCGTCACATGAAGAATACTTGATCATGTCGATACAATTCAATTTCTAATTTCACGTAAATGACAAAAAACACCAGGAAAGTATACATGAGAAAGTATAAATTTATTTTATAATATCTAAGGAAATTCAAAACTGTCAAATGAATAGTTTTTATTTATGAAATATGTCCAACTTTTTATTAATTTCCCATTAGGAAGTTATTGTAATGCAGTCGATTTTTAAAATTCGTCATTTTATCGTATCTTTACGTTTTGATACATTTAAAATCACATATGTACCCACGTACGTAATTGTTTATAACAATTTAAATTTATTGTAAACAAAAAAAAAACTAAAAGATGGAAAAATTTTATTCGATATTTTAAATGATTATTCATTCGAAATGAGATTTTATAGCATGTGTTCATCATAATTTCATGGGTATCAATATCAAATAAACTAGGAATATGTGTTTAAGTTATCGAGATTTTCCTAAGTGAAATTTAAATGATTACATGTTTGAAAATTATTTCTAATAAAGCATTAAAAACATAAGAAAGTTGGTATAAATTATAAAATTCTTTTGAAATCCCTGATCTTGAATAAATCTATATACTTATTTATTATTAAACTCATTCTACTTAGAAATGAGGTGAATCTGAAAACAAAAAAAAAGGGGGTAAATGTAATTAACCCAGTCATTGAAGAAAAATAATAAATTTTAATAATCAACACTTCCAAGGTTGATAATTTTCAAGTTTCTAGAGAGTGCCAAGGTGAGAAAGAAATGTAAATGATCACAAATGTGTTAATTACTAAAGAAATTAACTCAATTGAATGTACACTTGGTAATCAAGTATGAAAAGAATGAAATAAATTGTATGGAATAAGATTTCATCAAGAATGAACAGACAATAGATGGGAGCGTTTGCTCCTTCACCTTGCTATAGCTTTGTCACTGCTTTCTCCTTAACTTTAACAATAAAATAAGCAATGACGAAAATTTTCCATTCAAGACATGTGCATTTATATTGGTCGAAGCAAAGTGCAGTAGACATAGTGCATAAGTAAACACATGTACCTTTTTTGCATTTATGAGAATTGTTTAGATCTAAATAAAACAATCAATTCCAATAGACTTCAAAGTTTATTCTGTTTAGAATTAATTCTAGGATGTGTAAAAAAAATATTAATAATTTTTTACATGAGTATAAATAATTCTTATGAATGCAAAAAAAAAGTACATGTGTTTATTTATTTACTATGCCTACTGCACTTTGCAGAGACCAATATAAATGCACATGTCTTGACGTGTCACCTACACGAATAAGTTAAACCGATGGGAAAATATTCCTTCCAGCAAAAATACAAATGCTAATAACATGAAGTAATTTTTTTTTCTACATTGCAACGTGACTGATTTTTAGCACATTCTAAACCTAAAAACAATTAAAATATTACTCCATATTTTTTTTTAGTGTTAATAAATTTAGACAAGCAAATATTTAAGTTTATTTTATTTCTCACGAGTTGTTACTTCTGTAGTAGAATTTTGCATGAACTACAACACGGTATTCTGACACTTGTCAAAGTCCTTATACTGCTTTTATACGAAAACTCATGTAGCAGTCGAGTTTGCCTCTAACTTATGTGACAATTTCCACACTCGTGTAGTAAAAAAAAAATTTGCACTCTTTGCAATATACACTAATGCATCTACAAAGTCTCGTTAAAATTTTTATCAACATACTACCAAATAAAAACTTGGAGAAGAAAATAAAAAATAAATTAGTCTTACTAAAGAGCGAGATTTTATCTAAGAAGTTTAAATTTCAAAATAACTAACCATTTCTCTAGTAGCATGGTATAACCTTGGGTCTCATTCAAATATACATTGCAATTTAAATGAATTAGCCTCAGAAGGGTAAGCTGCAGAACAGGATTTAAATTCCAAATTGGCTAAATAAAAAAATAAATTTAAAAAAATGATAATTATGATAAATCATCAAATCAGTTGTTGTTATTTTATTTTTTTTCAAATCAAAAGAATTAAAATACCTAATTTGTGAATCACGTGCAGTTAAGTTAATAGAAGTTTGCAGCACTTTTCCCCAACGACGTGTGGTTCGAGTTGAAGTGGTAGGGAATAAAATAAGAAAGGTATCTCGAGGGAGGAAAGAGGCAGGAGGTATGGAGGATAGAATGAAAAGAGAAGGGAGGAGACCCAGAGACTAGTTAGACACGAGGAATATCTTGCCAGTCAAACTCGAGTATTATCCGCGATAGTATGATAAAAACGTCAATATAAACATTTAAACCCAAAACATCTTAACAATCTAGATACTTGAGTCTCATCTAATTGAGTCATTAGTTGATTCATCTTTGGTAGCAACGTATACTGAGGGAGGTGCGCATGGGCTGCTGGGTAATACTATGAATATAAGTGTAGTGGGTGCTTGATCAGTTAGTTGCGTTATGGGAGCCTCCAACAAACGAGTTAACATTTGTTTGATTTTTTTCACCATTGTCAAGATATAATTGTTCTCACACCAACATCACTTGGTATCAATCATTTATGTGCTAGAAGATCTAGAAGAGTGAAGAAAAATCAACAATATTTTAATCAAATATTCCATCGTGAGTGTTTATCATTTTTTTTTTTTTTTTAAATAATAAATTATTTGCTATTAAAAAGATGTACAATAGTTGATGTGATTCAGTTGAATTTAATTGAATAAAAATTTTCATAGTCATATCCGTAGATGTATCTGCATCAAATCTCAGTCACACGGTGTGCAGTGATATACTTTAACGTTACACAAATATAATTATTACAACAATAATCACCAACTCGTTAAGTTTGAATTATATTTGAATATCATCATTATATCACACAATGTTATTGTTACCTAATATTTTTATTTTTTTTCTTCCATCCCAAGGTCAATGTCTTTATTTAATAATATAGATAATAATCGTGATTTTAATTAATTGTTGAATCATTCAGTTATTAAACTACAGTTATAAATATTCTCATTGCATGCAGGTCATTTACGTTACTCGTCGATAAATTATTTTGATTGGCCAAAGTAATTGCACGAGAATATAATTTGCACATGACTCCTATATACTAGTGGAGAAATTTCTATTATAATTATTCCACTTGTACATTGATGACGATTTGCAAAATGTAGACGAAGGAAATAATCACCGTCAATTGATCACCTGCAAATATCTACAAATTAAAATAATACATCTTGTTTCCGGTCATTGGCGAACTCACTCTACACATACTTGATTATTACAAAACTTTGAATTTCCGCTTTCCTCGACTTTACACATTACTATCAATTATTTAAAATTACATTTTATTAAATAGCTTTACTCACTATTTATCTCGAAATTTCATTACTAATGAGTGAGTTTCTTTACTTTATAAATCCATCACTTTCACTCTTCTTAATCATGATACATAAAAATATATACAATTAATAGATATATTTATTTCTTAGTTAATTATCTTTAAAAAATCATCAAAAAGTCATGAGATAAATTGTTTTTATGATTTCATTGTTGAAAAATTTTATTGATAATTGAATAGCATAAAAATTACTATAACAAGAGTGAGAAAAAAAAATGAATCCTTGGCTTGACCTCCAAGCAGTTTATCCAAGAGTTGATATATCAAACAAAAAGTATTTCTTTTATAGTCGTTGCTATTTAATTGCCATTAAATTGTAACGATAGGCCATGGGGGTCAATTTAAGCGTGGGAATGCGTTCGAGAGATAGATACCTACGTGAAGACTAGAAAAAAAAATAGGAATGCTAGAGTAAATAAAAAAATATTTTAACACCATATGATTCTTAAGTAGATGTGAATCTCAACCGGATCTTTCTTTACATAAATTATTTAAAAAATAAATAAAACAAGTGTAAATGTATAATATTGATCAATTACTCTCGTAATCATAAAGACACTTTCTAAATAATATAGAAAATGTTTGAAATGAGTTTTCATTAATTCCTTCTCTACGGAAATAAATACACTATATCAAATCCAATTACTCAGCTTAAATTTAATTGATGATGAATGAATTAATTTTTTTTTATATTTTAATAATTATTTTTATTACTTCATTCATTGTTTTAAATCATAATAAAGAAACTATTATGAATAATAATTTTTTTTATGCATTGTAAGAGATAGTTTTTGAAAATAAATGTGGAAATAATTTAATTTAAATGTCTGACCATTTAAAAGTCTAATCCCTTGCTCAATATATTTATTGTTTACGTTCAACAACCATTAAGAAGAAAAATGTATTGATATTAGTTAAATATTTGCACATAAATTTTAAATATTTTGTCATCGATATACTGATTAAATTAACAAGAAGGTGCGAACAACACACTATATTTTTTTTTAACCGTTATAAAAGTCATTTTACGTAGAGTATGTAATAATTTTCATACTATATGAGTCTATAAAAAAAATATCACAGATATTTTTATATTTGCAAATTTACATCAGTGAATGAATTAATTCAATAAATAGCACTAGAAAAATAATTGATGATATATTATTGAACTGTGTGATCACAGGTAAGCAAGTCCGAGATGAATGTAAGCATAATTGCAGTGCACCATTAAAATTAGGCCATTAACCTTGTCTGGTTACTTTACAACATGCACCAGGAAAAAAAAATGATGAAAACCGGTATCCAGTAATATTGCATGATATTTTTATTTCACATGTTATATTATTTTTAAAAAAAAATAAATAATTAATTCAAATTTTCTTTGTATCGAAAAACAATCGCCATCACTAGTTCGTAGGTGTATAATCTAGTCATTATGATCACAATAACTAACTAAACGCCTACAAAATGCTATTAAAATTATAATAAAATACTTTACGGAAATCATTTACATACAACGAACAAAAAAAAAAATCAAATAAAAATGTTATAAAGATGACCAACAAATTTTCTTCATTGTTATTTAACTGTTTAATTGAACATAATAATCAACTTCTAATTAAATCACTTGAACTACAACAAGTCTTGAATGTAAATGTATTATCTACTGAAGCAAGAGGATGAAACTTGAAAAGAGAAAGATAGAAATGAATGCGGTAACCTGTCGGTTAGCTCGAGGGGATCGGGATGAACGAGACGAGCACATTATGCAAGCACAAGAGCGTGTTACCTCGATAGGAGTATAGCCGGTCAATGCCAAGGTGCTCTGGCTTCAGCTTCCGTTTGTAGTTTCATACATTTGTTAAGGATCCAATGTCAAATGATCATTTCTCATCATTATTTTCCTGATCTTTTTTTACTATATTTTCTATCACAATTTTCATTATCAACTGTCAGATAATTATTTTCCAATTTTATTAACCCTGATTTATGTAAAAAGAGTTAATTGCTAATTAGTGGGTTTTACGATAGAATGAAATCAATGATATCAACAGGTTAATCAGTCGTGGAATATGTCGAAAGGAATAATATCGGTATAATTCATTGGACAATCGATTCTATTGAACAGAATGTAGACATTATATACTTGAACTAAACAATTATACTAATGGTTATTTTTTTTTATATATTTAATGCAACATGCAACAGCTATTAATATCATATCACGGGATTTTCCAAACGAGCCTAGTAGAATAACAATTATAAATTTTTTTTTTTTTTTGAGCTTAATGTTATTTTTATATCAATGATAATTGTGGGGATTTTTAAAATCGCAAATATTTGCGAGTAATAAATGAAAAATTCAACAGGAAAAAAAATGGAATAAAATAGTAAATTAAATAAGATGATGTGATGTTTCCAAACAAGTATGGAAACTTGAATTCCTCAGGACTTGAGAAATAATAAAATGTATGAAATTATTTGTTTGTATAGCAGTTGATTTGAAAGAAAAGACTTATAAAGCAAACAATAAATATCCCTGTATATTATTTTTATCATGGAAGATAAAAAAAAAAAAATGATTTTCATTTAAAATAGAGATGTTAGGTTAAAAAGTGTTATCTGTGTTCTCGATATCCTTTTTCGGATAATCCATCAGCCTCCCCCCTTAGGAAAAATAGTATAGCGTAAGTGAAAAGTGTTGAAACCACCCAGACACACCCCGGGTCACGTTGGCCTTTCACTCTCACATGCTGCTATCGACCAACAGAGTGTATTTCATATAATCTTTGTTACTTTTTTCTTCCTCATTTATAATAACCAATTTAATCAATTTACTGGAATCCAAGGTCTAGTTAAATATTACTGATCTTTTTTTATCCTATAATTTACAATTTGTTGAATAAAAACCAAACCTAATAATCTCTCGATCCAATCAAGTTTTATCAATTGAATGAAATTTTAATCAGAAGGTATAAATTCCTAGGCATGAATTAAATAGCATTTTACTATTTTATCAAATATCAGTATTTCAATGATTAGTGATTTATGACATCTAGTATAAATGATCATACAGCTGTTGTCCTAGGTATGTGTATCGATTCAATGATTTGTCATTGCCCAAATAACACTCAAGGCAACACTCCATTAGTATTGTGAAAAAATGGATTAAAATCAGTTGACTCAATATCAAATTCAAAAATCATGCATTGCTCAGGATCTCGAAATATAGGGCATTGATTTTGCAAGACCATTCAGTTTATTCTTCTCAGTAACTCTTATATTAGAACCTGGACTTGATTCAAGTTATATGCGAATACCTAGAAATCCATATAGAAGTCAATTATATCAGTAACATTTTATCAAGCTAAGTTTCAATAGTTTTTCTTTTTCTCACTCTTTGTTATAAAATAAATAAACTGTAAAAGTCCAATAAATATGTATTGTTAATTATTTAGAATATTTATTTATCAGTAGGAATGTCCTAACAATAAAGCTTGGTTTGTATTTGCGGAAATGACAGGTTTATTCAATACTGTATCTTGAGAATAGCATAAAAAAAAACAACGACTTCTACTAATTTACTCCAAATAGAAAGTTTAAAGAAATAAACTTCCCTTTTACGTTACAAAATCTTTTAAGATATGTTTAGAGATAAGCAAAAAAGAAAAATCATTAAGCAATCGGAATAAAAATTAGAGAAATTGATGATTTTTAGGAAAAACGATTGCAGCATTAGAGTTAGTAATTAAAATTCTAATTAATTATCTACAATAATAAAACCAGACTGTGATACTTCCTTCATTTGTAGATTAACTAATGAAATACGACTCCAATAAAAGTACCAATTTACCTTGTACGTATGTCCTTGAAGGGACTTCACGTGGTAATGGGAAAGGTGGTGAAAACATGACATAAAGTCACGTGTCTCGTGAACAATCAACTTTGAGTTCGACACTGAAATTATAATCTATATTCTTGAACTCTTACATCAACAATTTAATTTAGGTCAACGACTCCGTTATTCCTTTTTACCACATTATTTTGTCTCTTTACACCTTTCTATTCTGTTAACATGCTACCGTAAATAATTTTGTTTCAAAAATCACATTCTATAGTTTTCCTTTTTCAAGGACCAGTTAAAGATAAATTATCTTATTCAACTTCTATCCGGGTTTATTAATATTTAATAAATCATTACAATTTCGTAAGTGATATATATTTTATCATATGCTATTGCGTTGAAAAAAAAAAAAAAAATGAAGTTGTTATTGAAAAAATAACTGTATCAACTGTTTAATATCAACTTTACCATTTGAATGGAATAAAAAGTAGCGAAAATTCATTCACGTGACTTGAGATAAATCAAATGTATCATTATGTGATTTACATGAGTTATCAAATCTGTAAGCATATTTACATGATGAACGTGACTATAATCTCAAGCTAATGTTAATGTATATCATTGATAAATATCCGTATCCCAGGAGATTTTGAGTGTATACTCCAATTCCGCTTTATTACCGTTGTTAGACCATATACTCTTATGACCTGTAAGTGTTTACTGTCGAACATTCACTGTCGGCCATGAGCGAAAGGTGTGGCTACTTATAATATTGCATTCCGTATATATCAAGACCAACGAATTTGAAATAATTCGAAACTATTTCTATCGTTAATCAATCTTGATTGACAGACAACTTAAAGTCAATTTATTTCATTCATTGATTTTTTTTTTTTTTCATTGTAAACTCTTATTTATTTTATTTGCTCATTTATTTAATTATATAGTTATTTTTGCTTAAAAATATAAGCTTGCTTACTTGTTAGTTATAAAAAGAATTCTCGTTTTCATTCAAAAATAGACCATGAAAATAACATTGACGTCAGTTATTTGTCTGACTCAGTAGTTTTAAAATAAATGATTGATCTACCTAAATTGACTGTTATTATAATAATACTAATAAAAATTATTAATCGTCTTTTTTTTTTTTTCAGATGTTTTGGAACATTTTTGAGAAGCTGCTTCTAGTCAATTTCATAATATTAACAACCTATACTACAACCTTTGCCGCAGAACATCGGAAAAGATATATTAACTTTGATCAGTACACTCAAATTCATTCGACGTTTGATCCTCAAAAATTGACCGTAAATAAAAATAGTGATGAATTAACGACTGAATATGAGATGAAAATAAATAGTGGATTGATGGGAGGACATAGAAAAATTACAGCCACATCAAAAAATGCTGAAAATTCAGAAGAAGACAAAGCTGAATTGGATGATGAATTATATTTATCATCAGCTGGAAATGGGAAAGAACGACCTGTCAATCATGATGACGATGATGACAAAAAAACACTTGCTCAACAAGTAAAAGAAGGCAAGTATGGTCTCATTCAAAATGAAATTTACTCAAGCAAGCCAAAAAGACCTGGAATTATTAGCTACATGTCTAATCCTGATGTACCAAAAGATAATATTAAAAATTTAGGTGGATTAGAGAAAGAAGATATTTGGTTAGCAGAAAATCATTTGCTGGTATTAAAAGGTGGAAGATTTCCTGATCAAAAGAAAGAAAGTTCTAATAATGATGAACCAGAATGGCCACCAATTGATGATTATCAAGCACCAAAAAGACAAGTTAGGATTCCAAATCAACCAGATGTGCCACCACCTTTTCCCGTACAACTCACTGAAGGAGGTCCTGTGAAGTTAATTGGAAAAAATGAAACAGATAATCATGAGAACGGATCTCAATGGATAGAAGGTTTAGTTTTATTTAATAGTACCAATCTGGCATTTACTAATAGCCCAAGTAATGAAACAACTGATGATATAATCAATGGAAAAACCAAGTCAGGAACATTTGGTGGAATAGTTGGACCATTTTTCCCTCATTTACCTCCAGGAACAGTCTTTGTTCCGCCTCCGAGTAATCAAAGTGACTATGATGAAGATGATCAATCCATTTATTATCCACCACCATATAGTTTCAAATATAATCAAGATAATACTACAGCTGTACCACCAGGACCTCTAGTACCTGGTATTATTTTACCTCCACCTCCAGACTTTTTCTCTTCACTTGATGAAAAGAAAACAACAACAGAAAAGAATCGTGTCAAATGTATTAAATGTACTTCATCTTCAGATTCTAAATCAACAACAAAATCGTATAAAATTAATTCGAGTACAGCAAGCACTAAAGAAATTCGTCGACCATTTACCATGAAACCAATTAATAAATTGAAGTATAAAACATCTGCATATACTGAATCTAGTACTAAATATCCTGATAAACCGTTGAAGTATTTTACAGTAACTACACCTATAAGTAAAATCAACACCATAGAAATATCTGATATTCAACCTGTCAAATCAACTACAACCAATCAGGTTTTCTCAACTAAATTGGAAAATCAAAAAAATCGTTGGCAAAGTGGTTTTAATAAATCACGACCTATAGTGGCTTATTATCCAACATCAACGCCATCAGCTCATAATACTGTAGATGTTACTCCAGTGTCACTAAAAACAATTATTAATACTGAAAAGAAAGTAGGAAATTCAGCATCTTATTACTTTTATGAAGAAGCTAATAGTGATTCTTCGGATAGTACGACTAACCCTACAATATACTTCCAAGAAACAACTGAAAGACCTTTATATAAAGTAAATAAATTATCACAATCAGAATTAGATAAGAAAAATTCTTATTATAATATTGAAATTACACCTTCTCAACAAACTGCCGAAGAGTACAGTGTAGAAGTGATTGAACCGGTTATTAAACCATCACCGAAATATCAGTACCGTACATCTGACGCCTCTTCTGTACCTTCAATCAAATTCCCAAGAGCCCAAGGGCAACGAGGATTATCAGATACTTCAACTCTCTATTATCAAGATGTTACGGAACGACCTCAGTACAATTTATTCACTACTCCAAGTCCTAAAAATTTTATTGCAACATCTCCAACAGTAAAATATACCCAGAAAGCTAAGCCTAAACCGATTTATCAATACAGTTTCCAAGCAATTAATTATCCACCACAATCACATACTAATTACAATCAAAAAATAGTAAATCATTCTCCAAAACAGGCTAACTTCAATGAATGGAAAGAAATTCAAGAAGAAGATCAAGGTTATGATTATCCGGCAGTTGAAGAAAATGAACAAATAGAAGAACCTCAGTATAACAATAAACATAATTATCATATTCGAGTAACAACACCGAATCCTACTCATGCTTATTACACTAAACAAGATGAACAATTATTTGATGATGTTACAAAAGAGTATTTCACTAATTTTGGTAAAAAAATAAAATACCAAAAATTACCATCAACAACTCCATTATATGGAAAAAGTGATATCACTGAAAAGTCTATTCGTCCTTCCCATAATACTTATGTAACAGATTATTACGAGAGTAAACCAACAACAGCACATAAAGCTCCTAAAGTTAAAGTATTTTATGGAGATCAATCGAATAAATTTTCGATTAAAGATGATACTCGAGTCAATTATCAACATCCATTACCACCTTTTAATCCTGATGCTGAATTTTTACCAGGATATAATCCAAAAGAACATGAAACATTGGCTCCAATTCGAAATCAGCCTCAACAAAACTATCATTATACTCATTCTCATTTACCAGAGCGAAAATTGATACCTATTCTAAGATATAATGGTCAGCAAGTTCCACAACAATCAGAAGTTGCACCAACAAGTTATTTATCATTATCTAATTCTAACGACGATCGTCGAAACTATCTTGAACAACCTATTTCTCTAGCTGATGATATAGCCGTTAATTATCGTAATCCACGACCACCAATTAATCCAGATGCTGAATTTATCAATCCAGCAGCTGGACAAGCAGAAAGCTCAGTTCACCCAGGATCATACGTCACGTACAGGCTACCTGGCGACGGTGGTCATGTTTACTTTTTTACTCCTGTGATTACACAAAGACAAGACGGATATCTAAATTCTAGAACACATGGTTTGAGATCTCCAAGACAAATAAGTGATTCAAAAGTTTAAAAGTTTCGTTCTACGTAGTAAAGAACGGCAATCGAGAATGCCATAAAAATGATTAAATGATTTGAAAAACTTATAAAATTCAAATATTGTATTTATTACTTTGTATATAGAGTTGAATTAAGTTAATTATCTGTATCTCGAGTTAAATAATTTATATGATTTTTTTTATTCATCAGAATTTTAATTATCAAAATATCGATAAAACGAACGACTGGATATTAGTTTATTTAGTCTCGTTATTTACTATGGTGTGTTTGTGTATTATCTGTGATTAATGTTTTAGTGTATATATGATTTGTGTGACATAGTTGCAAACAATAACGATGATGATCACCCCTACAGTATGATTCTATTGTATTTTATTATTTTATTCAAATGCTATTAAGTCGATAAATCAATTAATTTCATGTAATAATGCATCAATAAAATATGTAATTTTAAGATTAAAATTCGTCACCGAATTGTATTCCCAAACTTTGAATGAATGATATCGAAATTAATTTGAAAAATAATATTAATTAATAATTTAGACTCACCAGTGTCGATTTCTTGTATTTGCGTGGGATCTGGCAGTGGATTATCATGAAGTCGTAAGTATACTTCGATTGCACATTTTGCCGCTTTGAAGTAAAATGGATGAGACCGCAAAACATCCTCCAGCCTTAATAATCCAACATAAGAACGTAGAGTCATTTTTCGCATACAATATGTGTGAAAGTCAAATTGGTCTTCTATAATTTCTGAGAAATGCTAAAAAATAAATATAGTTGTTTTTTTTTCATCTTCAAATATAGAGCTATTTTTATTTATTGTACTATAAGTTTTGAAAGCTTACGCGATCAACTTCATGACATTTTTTTAATGCCTCGCCATATTTCCCTAAACGTTGATATGCACGTGCAGCTTCAGTTTGAATCCACATGCATTGCATTTCATTAAGATTTTCCATTGGTGGAACACCTTCTCGTGTGAATTTTCCGCACGTTTCTTCGGCTTCTTTTACAAGATTTGCACGTAACATATATTTGGCACATTTAGAATTTATGTACCGATCAGCAGTATCTAAACCCTGGGCTTCATCCAACCATTTATAAGCATCTTGAACATTTCCAGCATGCTAAGTAATAAATATTACATAATTAAAGACTAATTAATTATTAAATATATACAGATAAAGAAAAAAAGGTAAAACTGTACTTTATATATACGTCCTTTGGTAACAAAGAGCTCTATGAGAGTTGGTGTATGAGATAAAGCAGCATTAATTTCTTCAAAGGCTTTCTCTGTCATTCCAAGATAATCGTAATGTTGTGCCAAATAATAATATGTCCACAATAAAGCAGATGCTGGTTCTCGTGGATTATCTTTTTCAGAATCATTAAAATGTCCATGGCTTTTTAATGCATCCTTATATTCCAATATAAGTGACTGTATTATATCTGTTTTCTGTTTATCAACGTATAAAGAACGAAGACTAACAAACAATGGTGGTACTCCTTTATGCAAACCTTCGAAAAATAAATATATTTAATAAATATTATAGGAATAATTGTTATCTAATAAGGTCAAAATTACCTCTTCGTAAATATCTATCAACCAAAGATTTAAATTGGTCACCAGATGCATAATTAAGTTGTAATCGACGAGGAGCTAATGCACGAGGAAACAATTCTTCGTATCTTTGGAGCATAGTGAGCGTATCTCCCGGAGAAGTGTGTCTTTCAGCTTCAGCAAGTTTTTCATAATACGTAGTATTTTCAGGATTAATACTTAATAAATCCTTGTACACTTGAACTGCTTCAGCATACTGTCCTAATTCAAGACGTAATTTGCCATAAGTTTCTTTAACAGTTATTTTATCGCATATTTGATCACTATAAATGTTAAGATGTTCTAATGCTTGTTCACTATCTCCTGATTCTTGAATCACCATATTTTGATATAATAACAGCTCACTATGTTCATAATCATAGCAAACCATTGGAGAGTCTCTAAACGTGTCAAGTATTTTTAATGCTGTTTCATAGTCTTTCAATAAATGATACGATATTGCAAATCCAATCCATGATGCTCTTTGAGTTGGCCTTAACATAAACAATTGATATCTTGTATCCTGTAAATATCAGTTTATGATCATTATTATTCAAGTAGTTTTAATAATAATATTTATTGTAAATGAGAAAAAACTAACTTTATAACCCTCTAAATCTCTCATTTGAATTTGGAGTAGCGATAAATCCCTGAGAATTTGAATATTATCTTTGTCCCATTTGAGAGCATTCCTATATGCTTTGATTGCTTCATCATATTTTTTGTCTGATCTTTGTAGTAATCCATAGACATGCCAGCAAACATGAGATTGCAAATCGTTTCTGAGACCACGACGTACATGATCATAAGCTTCTTCTTTTCTACCTAAGCAATTAAGAGTCAATCCTTTCATTGCCAATGTCTCTCCATGTTCACTAAATTTTGGATTGGACAAAATTTGCTTAGCAAATTTTAATCCATTTTTGTACTGCTTGTGTTCGTAACATTTCTGAAAAACATAGATGCATGTAAATAGACATAAGATAGGGATGAAATGACATAACTAACAACTACGAAATTCAGTTGACAATGTATATGTAATTTGAGGTTATGTAACAAGTCATAATTCACTAATGTAATGATATGCTGTAAATGCATTTAGTATAGATTCATCTGACTAAAACAAGAGTGCTTTATCATTACATTGTGATGAATAGATGATAGATAAGTTACACCGGGGAGTAGGGGTCCAAAACAATCCTATTTTTATTGTACGTTACTTACCAAAATTCGCTTAAACAAAGCATTTTCTTTGGGTGGTAGAGGATTACTGGAGGGCATTTTTGTATAAATACAAAAATAATGGGTTTTTTTCACCCGGTTAACTTAATTTCTACCACAAAACCTCGTGGTCACTAAACGAAGAAGTCGATCTTTGATCACGTGATCATTCGCGACAATTTCGTTCCGCCGGAAGTGCTGTTTTCACGGTACCATATAGTTCAGTTCGTACTCATTTTTTCTTTATCAAATTACTCCACTATCAAATTTATTGTTGTTTCAAATTAAATGAAAAATAACTCATAAGATGAGATAATACTTATTTTCAATTGATAGTCAGCGATACAGAAAATAATTCTAAATAAATTTGATATAGGAATAAGAATTTTGAAAAATTAAATTAATTCACAAATTACAATTGAAAAATTATCAAGATAATTCAATTTGCATCGAATTTTTTGTCATTAGTAATTATTACGACACCTCAAAAAGCAGCTTGAACTGAAGTTAACTTCAATACGAACGGCCATATTGCCTGATTCAATTTAGCGCCAATTTCCGGAATTTAAATTGTGGAAATTCAAAACAATTTTAGCTGGCATAATATTGTGAAATAGTAGTTCTATAATAATAAACTAGCTTTACAGTGAAGTACTTTTAAAGTAATATTGTTATTTGATTATTAGAATTCTTTAGACAAATTAATTTGTTTTAACAAAATAGATTGGAGCACTACACATAGTCAACTCATGTACTAAGCTCTTGTATATCACGAAATCTTGGAGTTCGTGTTTCTATGTTCATTCAATAATACTCTGCTGATACAAATGCGAAGAAATTGTTATTATTGTTACGACCTGTAGAAATATTGTTAAGTGTTTAGTTGTTAAATAATTTTGGTTGTTCAATTTTTCCATTGAAAAAATTATTGTTTTTACAATATTAATATAAACTTTATTACTCGAAATTTTTTATATGAATTATGCAGGAAAGTGCATTAATACTCTCTGAATATGAAGACATTAATTCATTATTATTGAAACCTATTGCTGCTACTCAAAGAATTAAAGTATTTTATCAATTTAATTTGATTTATTATCTAAAAATATTGTCTAATTAATTAAAACTCAAATCTAATATTTTCTATGTTAATAGTATACATGCATAAACGTTTCAACAAATTACATTGTATTGGGTTCTACAAGTGGAAGTATTTATTTATTTATTCGAGAATCATGTGTTTTTCAACAATTAATGCCTCTTTCGGTTAGTAAATATTCAATTTACTCCAAAAATTAAAGCATTCATTTCATTCATTATTAATATAATTTTTTTTATTGATTAAAATGACAGGAGGGTCCTGTAACTCATATATTGATATCACCTGACGAAAAAACTGTAGCTTTATCAAGTAAACGAGGGAGTGTATGTGTCGTTAGTATAAAGCCTGTCTTTAAATTATTATCAATATCTAATGAACATATTGGAGAAATAATAACGTGTTTATGTTGGAATTCAAAAAGTTCAGAAATTTATGTTGGTGATAATAATGGCAAAATATCTACAATTATCTTATCTATTTTTACTGTAAGAAGCATTTATAATTTTATCAATTAAATTAATAATATGTCTATTAATAATATTATTAAAAAGTAAATTGATTTCTTTTTTAAGGTAAATGGAATGTTTCAAGCTCCATCCTGTGCATTGATGCATCTAGACTCTAGCATTGTACAGATGGATTATTACTTACATTATTTATTAGTATCGACATTAACTCGATGTTATATTTGTGATACAACCCATGAACAATTCAAACAAATCGGAAATAAAATACGAGATGGTGAATTCGGTGGATGCTTCTTCAAAACATCTACTGAATTAGATAAAAATTCTGAAAAAGCTTCAGATGATGATAAAACTCACAATAAAAGTATTGGTTTGAATTCAATTATGGGATTAAATGATGATATAAATCATGACCAAAGTTTAAAAATATATTGTGCTAGACCTGGCTGTAGATTGTGGGAAGTCAATATTCATGGAACAGTTTTAAAAACCCATCAATTTAGAGAAGCTCTATCTGCTACTCCAACATCTACTTTTAAATCATCTATGATCAAAACATTTAATAATACAGAAAAAAGTGATGAAAATTTCAGTAGCATGCAGACATTTAACTTTTCTCGATTAAATGTAATTAGTAAAAAATATTTACTCTCTTATACTACTAATAATTTATATATTATTGATCCTATAAATACAAATATAATTTTATGGACTGATGAGTTTTCAAATATTTTTATAATTAATGTCATAGATGACAAAATTTATTTAATGACAGTTTTAGGGACATTTCATTGTCTATTGCTCTCTTCTATTGATATATTAATTTTAAAATTATTCGAATGTAAATTATATAATGATTGTTTACGGGCATGTACAATATTTTCATCACATTTGAAAAAAATTATAACGAATAATGAAGTGTTATTAAATATTGATAAATTAAACAAAATTGATTGGAATAATACTGAAAGTAGTGAGATTATTAATACACTTCAGCCAATAATATCAGTGATACAATTAAATATTAATACACCTCAACGATTACATTCGGGGATTATGCTTATTAACTCAGGTCCTGGAAAATTACGTACCGAAGACAGCCGTTCATTAAATTCAACGGCTGAAAATTCTATTAGCTCAATAAATGATATGAAAAACGGTAAAAATCATGAAAGTGATAATGAGTCTTCTGACTCAGAAATAATTTATAAAAATCTGAAAAAAAATATAAATGACATGACAATGAACCAAAGAGGTAGCCATGAAAATGGTGTAAAACAAATTACTCATAGTTTATCACAAGTTGAACTAAGTGATTATAAAACTGAACAAAATTTATTAACAAATGATTATCAGAAATACCAAGAATCTCAATCAAAAGAAATTGAAACAGCTATGTCAACTATTCAATCAAATTTGGAACCTTTATATATATTAATTGGTACTTTAAAATCTTCTCAAACTATAGAAGAAATAGAAAAAATTATCGATAGAGTAACAAAAACAATAAATGATATAAATAGTAAATATGAAAATATAACTCAATTAAAACATTTTATTTATGAGATTATTAGATCATTTGAACGACATTATTTTTTTACTCTTCTAGAGAATATATCAATTAATTTAGTATCTACAAATATCAATAATTGTATTTTAAATGAAATGATGAAAGCTTTTGTAGATCTTAATTCATCAAATTATTTAGAGTGTACTTGTGGATATCCACGAGCCATTGAACAATGTCATGAACCAAAGTTTTTTAAAGTAGGAAAATTTTTAATTGAAACATTAATTAAAATAGATAAAAATAAATGTATTCTTCTCTGTAAAAATGTACCTTATATGTGGAGAGAATATTTAATGATTTATATTGACAACGAGAATGTTTTAGAAGATGATATTATTCCTTTGTGCCTTTTAACTACAGACAATATTATATTATCACTTTTAATTTATTTACTTGATGATAATCAGTGGAACATTTTTATTGAATACATAAAAAAATTGGAAAGAGGCCACTGTTTAAATTGTAATCGAAGATTTGAAATTCTAAACACAAACAATACAGATCTCATCAATTGGAGTGGTGTTACTCATGAAATAATGAAAAAGCGTGGTCTTGACAATGCCATGACATTTCTTCGTCGTCTAGAAAAATCGTTACCTCATATAAAATTAAAACAAGAGTATGTATCACTCAATAACACAATGAAAATTACTTTTAAATATGATAATAAAAAATATCTATTTATATGTTCTAATATAATTATCATTTTTTTCAGTTTATATCAATCTTTTATATTTACTAAGTTATTGGGTCGTTACGGACTTGAGCATACTGTTGAATTCGGTGAACATAAATTAGACAGTAAATATGGTTCCATATGTTCTACAGAGGTAAAACTTTTTATTGTCTTTCACTTTAATTTAGTATAAAAGTTTTATATGGCAGTATTGATGAATAAAATGTTTAATTATTTTTTTTTTTTTCAGGCACAAAAATTACTTGTAGAAGCACTAGAAAAAGACCTTGAACGGCCAGTTAAGAAAGCCATTTTTGGTAGTGGAGTTTTTCATTGGGGGATGCTTTATAAATTGAAAGTTTCTTATTGTTCTTCGTGCACGCTTTCATTACAAACTCCGGTATTATTAGGGAATAATGGTATTTCAATATTCCCATGTGGCCATGCCTATCATGTTAATTGTGTTTTACAAAAAAAAATAACTAAATGTTTTTTACATTCATAAGTTATTGTACAAAAGCATCCAACTCTTTGGTGATAAATTGTCAACGTAAAAATAGTATAAATTATACATCATGTTGATTTCTATTGAATATTAATCTATATACATAGTATACAACTGTGCCAAATTATATTTTTTTCGTCAAAAATTTATCGAAATAATTTGAAATTTTAAATAAAAATCTTGCTGATTCTAACTGTGTAATATTATTGTTTCTTTTTTGTGATATTTTTTTTTTTAACAATTGTTTTATTTTTTAAGTGCTAATAATATGAAAAATACATTTTTCAATAGTACAATATTAAAAGCTTTAATTGAATTTTAGTAAAAAATACGTATTTGTGTTTTTCGATTGAAAGTTGTAAATAAACTTTTACAATTATTTTAACTATAGTGAAAATTATTAGAAAAATGATAATTTTCATATTTTAAACATATGTTATTATAAAGAAATAAAAATTTGGAAATAATACAAAAGCTAAATACTTCAGCCTTAATATAAGGCACAATTAATATATAAAGATGTACATCACAATACATAACAGTAAAATAGCATGAGAAACCTAATAACACAGAACAATTTATAATTAAACTCTCTTCGATTTTTAACACTTACCTTACAATAATTATTTTTACATTTATCACAGCTTGAGAAAAAAATATTGTAAATAATTGACAATAATTGTGTATTAAAATCTTTTTAAATAATACCTACCAAGACCGCTTGTTTGCCTTGTACTTAATATAATAAATTTACATTTTTTTCAACGATTTGTGATAAATGATTAAATAACAATATTTTCTACATATGGTTAACTATCAATATGATAGTGATATCGATAATACTATAATAAAATAAAATTCATTTTTGATTTAAAATGAAAATATAAATAAACATAAATGAAGAAAAAATAGAAATCATATGAAGAGAAAAATTGATCTCGCAATATAAAATCAAATATACTTGAAAGCAGCTTTAAAATCTGCTACTTTTTGTACTTTCCATTTTCTTTTCATTGCGCTCGATATAATTCATAAAACTTGCACAGTATAAAAATAATATTATTTTCAATCTAATTATTTTCATTGATTATTCACAGCCGCATTATTTTATCATAATAAATAATAGAAAAATGATAACAATAATAATGATAATGATAACAATTATGATAATTTAGTTGCGAGATAATTATATAATCATAAATAACTTTACTATCATGATTTTTTTAAGAAAATTATTCTGTTGATATTAGATGAGATTAAAAGATTGATGCAGTATACTCGACATTGTGTGTCATATAAAATTTAACAATATTACATACATTTATTGATACAATTTTCGTACGTTAACATTATGGAAACTTACCCTGTAAGCCTCTACGAATTATTCCGAAGTAATCCTGATTTGTAGTTTAATATTTATAAGTATTAAGACGTTAAAGAAATTAGCAAGAATCTACGATAAACCAAAATGTTGCTTAGTTGAAATTCATATAAATATAGATGATACATAAAATAAAAATTCTTGTTTATCGAAGAAAAGGATAAAAAGATTATTGTTGTATTACTTAGCATTCAATACTTAATTATGCCTATATAGTTGAGCATTGATAGTTGAACTGCATTATGCAAAAACGAATCTCGTTATATCGAATTCCCCACATAGTTAAATAAGTTTTTGCATAACACAAACATTTATGAAAAAAGAATATTTCATAAATGTTACATATAAAATTTGTCACAGCCATAAAACTTTTTCAATAAAAATAAAGCATATGTCAAATTACATTTTAAAAATGTTTGAATATCTCATTAACGTTCTATGAAAATGTATGTTTCGCTTGTAATGATAAACTTAAATTTTTTGATTGTAATTTTCTGTTCATTAATACTCATAACTGAGCAATCGATTATTTCATTATAAATACTATTATGATATTCGTTTAAAATATTGAACAGTGAATTATAAAGTTATAGGTAGTTGATTTTTTCATCATTTCTTAATTTTGATGAATCATTTTTTTCATAATCAGTAATTTAGAAGCTGCATGCATTCAACAACTTGATAATAATAAAATATAACATAAAAAAGACGGGAATGTATCAGTTGGAATATCTACAGGATCATCTACGTTTTTTTCTTATATTTTTGTGAGAATTGATCAGAAAAACAATATTAAATATCATAAGAATAATATAATAAACAAACAGTTCTCACAAAAAATATATGATTATAATTAAATAAAAATATCATACCATTTAAAAATGGCAGACATATCGTTATATTTATATCATTTAGGTAATGCAATTGGCTTGCAGTATGCAACTATGAATTAGCCAATTTAAAATTAGTATGTAGAGTACTAAATAAATTAGTTTGTCACTGAAAAATGATATATACAATTTTCGATATCACATTAACTATTTTTTACATAATAATTGGTTTAAGAATTTTTTAAATTCAATAAAGAAAATATCAGATAATGAATAGCTGATATTTTCTTTCGAAGAGACTTATAATAAGCATTATTAAATAGCAAAAAATAATAAACTAACAATTTTTAGGATTCAGTGTTACAGATGAATAAAATAAAGACATGTTCTTTTATATATATTTCGAAACCGAACTTTTGTTACAATCTTGAAGAGCGACGAAATAAATTCCAAATACCTTTATATTGTTTCATTATACTTCATGATGAATATAACATTATTGTGAATTCAATTCTTATTTAAAATTGCGTCGCAATTCGCGTGATATATCCATTATTGCAATAAGTCATAAAACTATTCATCACTTTTCACTCTTTTGTTGCTGTTTTTTACTGTAACTATTTCTTCAAGTTAAATCTAAATTCATAATTATTAATTAACCTACATCTACATATAGAATATTGATATTAATACATGTGGCATATCGAAAAAAAAAGTTAATTGTTGAATGATACTACTGTATGGTCACAATATTTACTGCATATGCAATAAAATTACTTATTTTTTTATACCAACTAATTCATATATATATTTATATATATATATATATATAGATAAAAGTAATGTCTTTAAAATTAATGTGATTCATTTATAACATTTTTTTTGTAAAAATCTTTGGGTGCCACTGACAAATCTTATATTGATGACAACGATGATTACTAAATTATTGTATGTGAATGAATATGTTTTTTTCATCATTTTCGTTATTTTTTTTTTTTTACTTTTTTTTTATCATCTAAAGAAAATGGAATAAACTGATAGTATGTTTTTGTCGATACTATTATTTCATATAGTCGTAGACTAAATTATAGAATTATTTAATGTCTGGAACGATGTGAAGAATCTCCTCGTTCATCACGTCGATCTCGTTCACGTTCTCTTTCACGTTCTCGTTCTGGCTCTCTTTCCCGTTCTGCTGGTCTTCGGCTTGTTTCTCGTTCACGTTCTCTATCTCGTTCACGCTCCCTGTAGCGATCGTCATAATACCTAGACAATATACATCAACGTATTATCTAGCCTCAACACTTAAACTATGGCCATTTTTTTCTATTCATTTCTGTAGATTTACAAATATTTCCTTAGAGCAGAAACGGAAAGAAAAAAATTTACAAATTATATACAACAATCGTAGTTTTAATATTAATAAATTTTTTCATATTTATTGATCATAAATATACTTTTTTTCTTGATCATACTAATTACAAAAGTTTTAATCATAACATATAGTTATTGAATATTAGAAAAAGTGTTACCTAGAAGGCTTGGAAGATGACACAGGTGCCGTTTCAGAAGGCTCTTCTTTTACTCTTGGTCTAGCTGCCTGACGAGTTGTACTATTCAAAAATTTATTTTATATAATTTACAATAACAAAACTAAACTTATTTTAATAACAAAAAATCTAAACTGAAAATGAAGTTATTACAATTATCTGTTTTAAATAAAATCGTTTTGCAAATCAATCATTACTTGTTCTAAACGTATTGTATCTAATTAACTGCTCGATTTTTTTTATCATTTTTCAATTGCAAGAAAAAATGTTTTTTTTTACAATAACTTATCATATTTAGTCACATTGATCTCAATCTATGACATTTAAAAATATTGTATAATAATTTTAAAAAATAAACGAATTGGCATTTCGATACATGGTGATAGAAAATTAATCATAATTACACATGAGTTTTTACATTACAAAAAACTGTCAATGAAACGTAATACAATCACACATTTATAATTTTTGATACATTCTTAATTTATTAATTATTTCGCATTAATTTTGTTTTCTTCTAGTCGTTAGTGAAAGAAAAAATTAAACTTTAACACACTATCACAAAATCATGACAAGCACATTTATAGCTGTCAATTTATTAATAATTTAACAGTAATTTTAATAGAACTTCTCACAGTTCATTGTTCATGTTTTTCTTTTTAATATTAATGTTTATAAAATATTAAATCAAATAGAATTTGATAATCATTCGTAACATAAAATTTTAGAAAATTTGATTTTCATATTTTGTTAAAAATGTTTTGTACTCATCGATAATTTTTTTTTTATAAAAAATTAATAAAAATTAACTTACCTCTCTTCTCTGCTTCGTTCTCTGTATTCTCTCTCTCGTTCTCGTTCACGGTCTCGCTCTCGACTGCGGGATCTCTCTCTCGGATAAGATTCATTGTAGTAGCGTTCTCTTTCACGTTCACGATCACGATCACGTTCACGATCTCTATCTCTATCTCGTTCACGATCTCGATCTCTACTACGTTCCCGGTATTCTCTTTCACGACTTCTTGATCTATCACGTCGACGTCGATGGCTGCGATCTCTATCACGTGATCTCGAACGTTCTATTTTAAATATATTCCATAATTATTAGCATGATAAATTTTAAATTAATCATCTTTAGCTCTATAACACAAAAGTTACTTACCACGACGAGCAGATCCATAACTCTTAGTTTCAACACCACGTAATGTGTCTTGAAGAGAACTTATCAAAATTTTACATCGATCATCACCGGCAACTTTAGATTGTTTAATCAAAGATATTGCAGTAACCAAAGTTTCAATAGCGCTAGCATATTCACCAGCTGCAGCGTCCGAAACTGCACGAGCAATAGCAGAAGATGAAACAGTTCTATTACGATCCATAATTACTTCAAATTCTTGTTCTCTGATTTGAGGTGCGTCTTCGGGGCGATGATCAGGTCCTGGAGTGCCATATGGAGGCTGAAAAGATAAATTTTCAAAATTAATGTCCAAGTTTTATTTGATTATGTGTATTTTTATGAGTTCTTTTGTAAAAAATATTTACTTGAGCAGCCGGATAACCATGAGGAGGTGCATGAGGTGGTCCATGCGGTTGTCCATGAGGAGGTCCATGTGGAGGGCCATGAGGAGGGCCGTGTGGAGGTCCATGAGGTCCACCAGGTGGTCCACCCGGATGTTGTCCTGGATGTTGGTGAGGACCTTGTGGGAAAAATGCAGGATTGACATGAGGAGCTGGACCTCCGGGTGGGCCTTGAGGAGGTCCCTGCGGAGGTCCACCATGACCTGGAGGTGGTCCACCTGGACCTGGTAACATACCACCCATGCTTCCAGGTGGCGGTCCACGTTGAGGCGGTCCTTGACCGGGTTGTGGGCCTTGCATATGTTGATGTTGAGGAAAACCTGGAGGTCCTTGTAGTTCATGCGATATACCTAAATATTGAAAAGAGCTAATACTTGGATATTTAAATAAAAAAATACTATAGAACTTGACATACCAGGCGGTCGATTCCATTCAGGACGAGGTGGTGCACCTCTTGGGTCTCCAGGGGGTCCGCCTGGATGTCCAGGTGGGCCGCGTGGTGGTCCTTGACCTGGTGGACCAGGGGGTCCTCCATGAAATTGCTAAATAAAAAAAAATTTGGGTTGAAATATATAAAAAAAAAAACGTTCACCAGTTTCTGAAATATTTACCATTCCAGGAGGTCTATGTTGGCCAGGGCCAGGACCAGGAGGTCCTTGTTGTGGTGGACCACCAGGTCCATTGGGTCCTCGAGGTGGACCGGGTGGCCCATTAGGTCGTGGACCATTCCAATGTCCCTGTTGATAACCTGGCGGTGGTGGTCCTTGATTTGGGTGTCCTGGCATGTTATGATGAGGACCTACTGGACCTCCCATAGGAGGTCCATGCATACGTGGTGGGCCTTGTTGTCCTGGACCACCAGGTCCGGGAGGACCTCCCATTCCTGGCGGTGGCATTCGTTGTGGCCTTACTCCTTGAGGAGGTCCCATCATCATTCTCGGGCCATGATTCTGTTGAGGATGTTGGGTATGAGGTGGATGTTGTGGATGCTGTTGATGAGGTGGCATTTGTTGTTGATGCTGATGAGGATTATGAGGCCGTTGATTTTGATTTTGTTGTGGAGCTGGTGCTGGCCTTGTTTTACATTGTGATTCAAACTATAAATAAAATCAAAAATTGATTATTCATGTAAATTTAAATTATTATATTAAATTATCTTAAAGTTTATTATTATTAAAATATTTTTAAAAAAAATTTTCAATAACCTGATTCAATGCCTGTTTCGTAGGATAGGTTACAACAGGATTTTGACCGTGTAATTCTTTTTTTGAAAGTCTTTCCATACAAATTCTCATACTTTGCTCAGAACCCAAAGAAATAACACAAAATCCTTTAGACTGCCCGTTAGCACGATTTTCAAAAAATTTAACTTCAACAAAGTCCGATACTCCAACACTTTGAACGGCATCTGTAATATCTTGATCACTGGTCCACTGTAATAATAGTAAATAATAAAATATAATAATTCACTCATTAAATATTCTTCTTCTGAACGTTTGAGGTATAAAAAAAATTACACTCACCCAAGTTAAATTTCCCACATAAAGTTGATGTCTTCTTCCAATTTGATTTGGCTGTATATTATTGCCTAATTGATGATATGGAGCATTTCCATTTGTTTCTTCACTTGTCGCATTTGTAGTATCTGCATCACCGCCACCACTTCCGCCCCCAACACTAGTGCTGTTAGCACCAGAAACACCTCCATTTCCCCCCGAGGGTGCCGCAATCACATCATCATATAGATCAACTCCATCCCCAGCAAATTCATCCTAGTAAATACACAATATTCATTTTTCGACATTGGAAGATAAATAAAATAAACAAATTAAGTAATAAACCCGTACTAATAAAATTATCATCATCGAAATCCTACATGACTATAATTATTAAATATTATATTCATGTGCAAAATTTTCACATATAAATTTGATGATGGAGCAAATAATCTTATGATAAACAAGGGTAAATATTTTTTTTTAATCATTTTAACAGAAGTTATTGATAAAACTTACTACTTCGATAACTTCTAAAATTTTTATAAATTGAATAAGACGATATTCATATTGTCAACTCCATTTTGCTTTTCTATGTACTGATACTGATCTTAAGCGAATCGAACATAATTAAATAGAAAAGTATCGAATAATTATAGAAAATAATTAGAATACTAATGTTATATAATTATAACTTGAGAAGTTAACTTTTTTCACGAAAGTTAATTATTAAATAAATTTGACTCATATTGAAAAAATACTTTATGCGGTATGTGCCGCTTCAAATAAATCGTTATTGTCGCCCCATCATGACGCCGTACTCTCCAACAAAAAATATCGTGTTTCTACACTTTCTACAATTACGGATTATTTATGAACAAATAAAAAATAATAATGGCAATCTTTCAATAATATTAGAGTATTAAATTTCAGTCAATTACCTGGGCAAAATCCTGTTCAAGATCATCGGCGTACAAATCAATGTCACCATCCGCCATTTTACGCACACCGACGCTTTACTGCTTCGATGAAAGCGCCAAGCATGTGTCTTCTTCCCTAACTAAACCATGAACTAAAATTTTATAGAGAAAAGAAACTATCACTTGAAATAATGCCAAATGTGCTCTATAGGTGGCAGAAGAGTAAAATGCTCGAATTTTTAAAATTCATTATCAATTTAAATTCAATTTTATATCAATTTTACATTAACATATAATATTAAAAGTAAGATTATTATTATTTCAATTGAAAACAGTAGGTTATGATAAAATATTTATCAGTTTCTCTTGTAGTAATATTAGAATCTATAAAAAAATATTGAACATACAATTCATTGAATAACATTTACTGAAAATCAGGAATTATTTTACTACATATCAAAATAAAAATAATAACAAAATTTATTTTATAAGGTTTTAACTTTATTTTCTTTATCCTAATAACTAAGCCATTAATTGCAGATAAAATTCTCGTTGATTTTACATTAAAGACAAAAATACGATCTAATATTTACAAATGAAGTGTACAACATAAGCATTATATTGTTTGTTTTCTGCGAAAAATTAGACATTGGAATTCGTTATAGTGGGACACACAGTGCAGACGTATTAATGTAACACTTTAACAGTCGCATAAGTAAAAGTAGATAGTAGAATACTATTTAAAAATCTTATTAATATTTTAAAGAGTCATGATATTGGATTACGTACGAAAAATCGATTTCGCAAAAAATATGTTTCTTTTTATCTTTTTCTTGTTTACTTTGCCACATTGTTGTAGTATTTATATCTAATGATTTGTTGTGTCCAAATATAACGAATTAAAGATAATGAATACCAAATAGTAATAATAACAAATTTACATATATATCTCGCAGTTAATGATTTTTCTCAGAAAAAATCTAGAACACTTACTAATGAGTTGAAATATTAGTAGTTCTATTTACAGATGAATATTACCTACAAGCTAATATAAGATTTTGTTAAACATAAACATTTAAAAATAACTAGAGGAAATCATTGTGTTTTTAAGATAATCATAGTGACATAAAGTTGTTCATAACATAATGTTTATATGTTCTATGTATAAATTATTATGGAAACTTGATTGAAATCAATAATACTTAAACACAATTTGTTTTAACAAATAATTAAATAATTACATTATAAATTTATTCTATCATGATAACCTTTGCATTCAATAAGTATTCTCATCATGGACATTTTTTAATCAATTATTATTTCAATTTTTTTTAATCATATTTTAATTTCATTATGCCCCGAGCAGTATGTCATGTATAATGTCATGATATATTTAATATTATTTTTCTACACATATGCAATAGTATAATATTCTAAATAACAATTTAATTTAGGTAAAATGTAGGCCGCACTACAATTACCTTCATGAGAACAAATGAAACTGGATCTATGAAACCATTTTTGATGTTTATTATTATTGTTATTAATATTATTATTATTATCATTATCATTATCATTATTATGCTTATTATTGTTGTTGTTTATTTTATATTATATTTATTGTTTCGAAAATCTGAGAACAATGAACATTTGGTTATTACGAAAAAAATATTTTAATAACTGTCCATGTGAATGCGTTAATTGTGTATACACTTTCCTCACTCTGTTATCAATTGATAATAAAAAAATAATGCCGGCGGTAATTGGGAAACCGTGATACAGAAAATAATCAATCATTACACTCAATATACTGTTGTAATAATTTCCGCATGTAATTTTTTTTAATAAATAAATCTTTGATTCTTAATCACACTTCCCATTACCATTTTACATTGTAATTGAAAACTATCGACATATATGCACTTTTATCACCAAACTGTAATAATGAATAAAATAGTTTTTTTTTTATTATTTTTATTCACTTTATTTTTAAAGAGAAATAACGTTATTCACGTCATATTCTTTAGGACGGTCAGTCAAAACTTCTTGCAATCATTCACACCGCACAATTCAAATGAATGAAAGATCAGCAAAGATGTTTTGAAATTAACAAATTTATTTTTATCATCTAATATTTAAAATTAATTTGAAGTTGAACTGAAAAATTTCTCGCACTGGTATTTTTTAATTATTTTATTTAGCAATATTGAACATTATTTTTAATAACATATTGCAATTGTAATAAATGCGAGGACTATCCTATAATTAACATTCATTTATTCTATTACATATTACACTTTTGGAATACAATTTGCCATTAATTGAGAAAGAAAACAAATTTCATATATAAATTCTTTTATGATTAACTGATTTTATTTATACGATTATTATACCATCTGACAGAAATACTTTTAACTTTTTATTTTAATCATAGATACTTCCAAATTTTTACATTTTTTCTTTTTTTGTAATCCATTAGCATTTTAAAATATTTTGGATGTATTTTCGTTGTTGATTTTTTCAACGATTAACGTTCAATTTTTTTTATTTTTTCATTATATTATCAGTAAACAGAGAAAAAATAATTATTATTACCTCTTTTTAAAACCTCTTGAGAGCTTTAATTAAAATTCTGATGGAATATCAATGTACCATTTAAAATCCTCTTAGTTATCTTTCTTTTATCAATTAAAGACAATAATAAAAATTTTCCTTCATTCAGAAGAATATAATTTATAAAAATTCCTATTTTTTATTCAACATTGCAATGAGATTATTTTAAAAATAATTGTCGATTTTTCTTTGACTATACAACAGAAGTGATACATGCATTTCAAATAATCACCTTTCTATACCAGCTGAGTTATTTTTCTTTTATGTATATAACAATAAATGCTCAGTTCAATTTATTCGAGAAATTCTTTTTCTCATCATTATTCAATTAATTATTCAAATTTTCTATTTTATTCTCTGAGGATTTATTGATCATACTATCATAGATTTTAAATTCACATTAATTTCGAATGAACTATTTAAAAATTAATAAGTAAATTAACAAAAACATTTTCTTTACATGTACGGTTTCCAAAAATAATCATTTTCATACAGAGTTGAAATATTTATAAGTAAATTGAAATGATATGCTCCGATAATCAAACAATTCCAACTTAAAAATAAAGATTATTATTTATAGATATATGAATGAGCCACCATTTCCTGTGCTAAACCAGTGTACAGAAGAATGAAAAAATTGCTATAATGAAAAAAAAATTTTTTCAGAAATAAATAACACTTTAATAATAAAATCCAATAAAATTTACTACACGAGGACAGTATATATACATATTTTTATGCACTGATAAGAGATATAATACAATACAGTAAGTAGAGTAGAATATGTGTAAAATAAGTTAGAACATATTATAAATTTTTGTATATAATACTTATTTATAATACGTTCTACAAACATTTATCTATCCATTTGTAATAGAGAATTTTAATGGATTAACCAATCAATATCTAGGCCCAATTGATGAATTTGGACGGGGATAATTTAGGGGAAATTTTTGCGGCAAAGGGCAAAGAATAAGAATTAACAGGGAATATATATTTGATAAAATCATTTAATTAATTATAAATACGATAAGAGATCCAATGTCCATTTCCTCTGCTTTTTATTACACATCCCAACAAGAATGTGATCTATTTTGTATACTAAACTCTTAAAGTGGCGTCATAATATTACTTTAAATTTGTGATAATAAAGTCTATAGTATGAGAGTTCAACTGTATGTTAACATATCTCATACCACTCATATATTTCATTTGTAAATATATATTTATATATGTATATATATATATATATTTTTATAATTTTAATAATAGTATGTATATCATTATATTTACTACCTGCGTATCACAACATAAATTTTTTTTCTCAATTTTCACACAACATACATCCCATTTTTATCATTGCAAACATACTCACACATATTCTGCCTACATAATAATAACACTGCAATAGTTTGATAGTGATTGAGACTTTAAGCACTGTAGCGTTGTTCCAGAGAGCATATCCGCCGGGGCGAGTTCGTACTTCATTTCTATTTTTTTGTATTTTGTTTATTTATTCATATTTTCACTCATCTCTGGAATTCTTTATGCGTCGATATCGTATTATCATCGCGTGCGATTTGTATGAAAGAGGCCAATGAACTTTGTATTACAAAACGGCATAAAGTAGAGTACACATTATATACACTGAATTACATTTTTCAGGTATCATCTAGTGTCACAAAGATTACTCAACATTATTTGTTATTTTTCTTATTAAAAGCTGATGAGTATGCCTTTTTGGATATTATATTTCCATTTCATAATGTCCATGCTATTGTTAATTTGTAATTTTTGAAATCAAGTCCAGCTATTTTGAGGAATCTGATAAAAGCTCCTGTTTCCACCGTATGAGCAATGTTTTAAATTTAAACAATGTTATTTATACGGTTATTTGGCTCTGATGCTAATATCTTTTTGTGGCTATGATAATTTTGTCCATTTATTTATTATTCCTTTATATTTTCTTTTTCAACACTCACTTATGTTTTTAGTTCAATCAAATTATCAAAGCGTCGTGTTGCCCCTGATATGAGAACATTAAACAGCCAACTATTCTAGTAAAAAATGCCTTGATTCCCGTCGTTTATCTTTATTATTTGTAACTGTACTTGTAACTCCTTGTCATGATTGACATTTAATAATCATTCATCTTTGCTACATTGCTCGCAAGTTCAGTCACTAACGATTATACATCAGCATAAAATCTTATAAACCATGGCTCAACTTGGATATCTATTGATTCATTTTTTATTATCTTAAGAATCCAAGGCAGCCAATGTTTAGAGTATACAGCAGGATGCTGAGCAGCAACTACTACCACCACCTTTACTCTTTTGTCTCTGATCTGAAACACAAATTTTTATGTTGATTTATCTATTAAGTATAATTCATAATAAAACGCAACTTTTTTCAAGTAAAAATTAATCATCGAGTCTTTATTATTTCTGATGATAATAGAAAAAAGGAATTAGACAGATAAAGTGTATTACATTCAAACTTTTATTTCAGTAACAAGCATCATCATCGTGTAGAACATGCATGTAATCACCGTTAGGAAGGATACCTACATTATTTCAAAAGGAAAAGGATGAAGGAATAGTAATAAATTGTAAGAAAAATAATACATACTAAAGATCAAATATTCTTTTATGTAAAATTATATGATAAAAAATTAATAAAAAAAAATATTTATTCTACTTTAGTGATAATATTTGTATTTCAATAATATACTAAGAATTAATTATCTATTATTTACCTTGGGAATTGGGCTCAGGAAGATTTTCCCGAGGAACTAGATGCATAACTGTTGTTTTTCCAAAAGGAAGCCCAAGTGCACCGAGCGTTACATTGCTATGTAAGAAACGGCCTTGATAAATTAGTCGCAAAATTTCTGCCTTAGCTACAGCTTCTTCCGCCCAGTCTGTAATCAATAAATATTTTTAAATACCATTCTATATAATTCTATTTTCTATTAATTAGTATGAATTCACTTTCTTTTGAATACAGAAAAATATTTTTAGAAATGGAATGGAGTTCTCAACGAAATACATAACTTCCTTGGAAGTGGTGAAAGTACTTCCTGAATGAAATATTACATTTTTGTACACAAGTGATACAAATTCACTCAGTTATGAAAGCTATTCATAAAAACAAATAAGTATACATAAACATAAATTATTTTCTTTCAACATAAAAATAATTAATAATAAAAAAAAAAAAAAAGAATTCTCAAGTAAATATTGGAAAACTAAAAATAAATTTATATCCAGATGTAGATTCTACTGTCTGAGAAAAAAGAATTCAACAGAAATATATACCTTCTGGCCAGTTCTCAAACACATGGTGAGCAATGTCTCCTGCAGAGTCACTGGGACTGAATAGGAACTCTTTTGTCTTACCACTAACGAGGATAAGGCGTAGGTTTATCTGTAAGTAGAAAATAAAACCATTTATATAATTATACTATAGAAGTATCTGAATATTTTTATAGACATGTAATTAATATTGATAATGTCAAGTAATAAATGCTATTCAAATTATAAGCAATTTACATTCATATTTATGTTTCTTTACCCAACTTATCTTCACACATAAAATAATAATTTTTTATTCAATAAGTTGTGATAATTTTAAACATTTACGCTTTCCCAGAATATAAGTGAAACTACCAAGTTCTTATGATGATTTCAATGCTTAAGATTTGTTTTAATGTTTTCTCTTAAATTCAAGAGTGTAATCAATTGCCATGAGTAATTTACAAAGTCGAAAGTACACACATGCACTTGTTTTATGCATATAAATTCACATTGATATTCTCAATGTTTTCCTGAAAGATAATAAATCACATTAAATCTCAACACGTTTGTATATCCATTCTAGATGATGGGTTGCTTCACAGTCAAACAGCGATTGGAAACCATATGAAAATAAAAATTTTATCTCACACCAATACCACACACTGTATCAGTGTACATATGGCATGAAAACAATATTATATGGGTTTTCAAACAGTTCGGATGAAATCTAGTAAAACGAAACATAGAGCCTCACGCTTTCCAGCTGAGGCCTCTATCCATTCTCTTTTCTTTATTTTATTTTATCGCACACAAAAGTACTGTTACGATACTTTAACAATATGATTCTCAAGTAGTAAATTTATTGCACGTAAAACTTGTAAGTCTCAACAAAAAGATGCATTTTGCACATTTATTCATGATAGTTGTTATTCATTGAATACTGAAATTCCATAATCGTGGTTCAAATTTTTACAGCAAATAAAAAACATTGTTTCATCATTTAAAGTTAATTTGAAGTAAATAAGTGAGATTCAGTTGAATGAGTAACAGTTATGTATTTTTTATTGACAAACAAAGCTATGCCTATCAATATGTAATTCTACTTCACATGAATTATTGAAAGAGATCCAATTTAAATGTAGCTCTAATCTGAAATTGATGAGAACAAGGTCTATTTCATTTTTGAAGTAGCTCACCTGATATGGAACTAATGAAGAATAGGGTAGTAATGAAGTAGCAAGATCATGGTATACCATAAGAAAATGTAATCAGACCCAAATATGGTCATACTTCATTGCTACTGGAGATCTTGGTGTTAATTAATAAATAATATGATATTAAACTGGATTATAATTGAGTGTATATGATTAAAATAACTGAATAGATGATAAGAAGATAATTTAACAGGTAGTATAGGTAAGTAATGAAGTAGTAGTAGGGTAGTAATGATCATGGCCATATGATCAGGTCTACATACATTCATATTTAATTGCTACGTGCATTCAATAAATGATATTCTTGGATTAAGAATGGTTCCATTCTTGGTTATTATAGCATTAACATGAATGAAGACAGGATAGGAACAGCATGGATCCAGGATGCTGGCAGAGTAGGCAATAGTATGCTCGCAAGATCATGACATTTCTATCATGATCCTGTCTTCATTCATATTAATATTATAATAACCAAGAATGGAGTCATTCTTGATCCAAGAATACCATTTACTGAATGCAAGTAGCAATTAAATATGAATGTATGTAGACCTGATCATATGGCCATGATCATTACTACCCTACTACTACTTCATCACTTACTTATTATTATTTTATTGAAGAATATCATAATCAAGAATGAAATCATTTTTGATCCAAGAATATAATTTTATCCTGGTGGGGATAAACATCAGAGCAATTAATATTAAAATTTAACATAGAAGGGTGTAAATGCTGCAATAACTATAATTTTACCAAATCGATAGTATTATTTATATTCTCAAAAATCTTAACATGTTGGATTATATATGATGTAATCAATCACGTGTCGAGAAAAACTAGGTCGTTCATATGGCTATCGATAATAATCACCTAAGAAACCTTCACAACTTTCTTCACTAATCACTTACTAATCAATGACTTGCAAATAATATAATCCTTTTTTCATCACACCAAAGTTCATCTAAACAACAAATTATTTTCTAATCACTTATCTATATACATTCTTTTTTTTTTTATTTTTTACATCAATGTTATTTAATTATTGAAGATAATCAAAATACTTGAGATAGTTTAATCACGATAATCTTCAAAGACAACTTCAACAAACAATATAATGAAATTATACTATTCTGGATTAATTATAACACGCTAAAATCATGGTACTTAGATAAACTCACAACTTAGTGAAAACTATCACTCACACTTGAACTTTATTGCCTAAAGCAGTTCATAGTTTGTATGAACTGATAATCGATATCCTATTACAATCATGCTAAGATAGAAAATTGTCAAAGTTCCAAAGTTACCCAAAACTGGATAACTTTTCATGTCAGTTGGTTTCTTTGTTTAAATAAATTATTGGTAATTCATCATTAAAATAAATCAAATCTCCATCAAACATTCTCTCTGGTAAAATAATCTTCTATTTCATTATTTCCTTGATATCATCTTCATTCATTTTCAGACTTATCAATATGACTTGATATCTATTAAAGATTGAATCCATATAAAAATTTGATTAGTCCCACAATTTGAATAGTAAGGACCTATAGGAAGATAGAGAATAAAGGAAATGTGATTTTTAAAAAATTTCCAACTTCGAATAACAGTGGAGAAAGATTATATTGAAAAGTAGTTGGAGCATTCTCGTTTCAAATGTTCTATTATATTTTTCGATGTCGCATACGTCATCACGTAGGGTCAAGGAAGCAAAAAAAGAAAGACTAATAGAGAGTACAAGTGTATAGAAGAAAAAAAAAAAGACTGAGCACACGTTCACCTTGAATCGATGCTATGAGGGGCATAAGTAGAGTTGCTGTGGAATCGACGAAAACCAGGTCATTGGAACATAGCATTTGCAACATGATGCGCAGACTTGTGAGCGCATCCCTGCATTATACCAAGTTGCAAAGTTTTCAAATTCTCTACTACTCTGGAGACAAAATATACAGGCATCTATTTTCGATAAAGAATATTTTTTCGATAATTTCCAATACAAGTTGACTCAGCAAATACGGAAATAAATATCATAGTTATACACTTGGTGTTTAATCAAAGTTATTCAGTGATTGTTTTTTTTTTTCTTTCAATTCAAGGATATACAATAAATAATACCTACAATTATTGAAAACAAAAAAATTCATTACATAAATAAATGATTTGTGAACTTGATCATTTTTCAGTATCAACAAAAGAAGAGGTAAGTAGCAGAGAGACATAGTTTTGGTCTATATAGTTGAGGGTGAGCAGAAAAAACTGGCCTCGACCCTGAAGAGAAAAAAACCAGTGGAATAAAGAGTGGGTGTGGAGAACATCTACCGGTTGTCGTGATTGTACCTAACTTGCGTCATCGTCATTTGAAAATGTATATTTATAGTAATATTGCTTATTCATTTCCTACTTTTTTTTTTTACTTTTATGATAATTGACAATATATTTTTATGGCTTTTTAAAGAATATCAAGCAGCACAGCAGCATTTATTATATTTAAATATTTACATATCATAATAAAAATAATACTATCAGTTTGAATTGATTAAAAATGATAAAGGTCACTAGATGCATTGCTGATAAACTTAAAATATTTTTAAATATATTAAACATTTTATTATAGAGTAAAATATTTTTTGGAGTAATTTTTGATGCTTCTAGATGTTGTGAAAGAATAGATAAATAATGATAAGTGATTAAATAATTACGAATTTATAATTTATAAAAATTGATATGGTTTATTTGAAACATCTTTTATTATTCTAGCTTGTTAAAGCCTTGGAAGAGAACACTAACCTCACCACCAGATCCCATTGTATCTTTCACAGTTTCTTTATTACTAGTCCAGTCAATATAGGAGGCTTGGCTCCATTTATCTTGAAAATTTTTGTACAAAGGGCAATTTTTAATTTTCTAATGTCAAAATATCCGTAATGACCTGTAGAAAAAATGTGCCCAAAAACGAAAGTGCGCTGATTTTTTTTTATATGATTTTTTCGCATTTTAGTGGTCCCGTGTATCTAAGCGAGACAGCACTATAGGCGGCACCACGCGCTAGAGAAGGACATAACTATCGGAATGAAAAAATCGTATTTTCGATAAAAAAAATTGTAGTTTTCTTGTTCAATATTATTTTATTAATTATTTGATGAACAAAAAAAACCTACAAAATCATCAATTTCTTAAAGTTGGTAATTTTTTCATTTATTTATAAAAATTTGTTTTTTTATTTATGTATAAAAAATTCCTTCATTATAGTAAATAATATATTTATTTATTATATTAATTTGATATTTATTTACTTATTTTAGGCAAATATTTGACCCAAAAAATTAAAAAAAATATCAAATTAATATAATAAATAAATATATTATTTACTATAATGAAGGAATTTTTTATACATAAATAAAAAAACAAATTTTTATAAATAAATGAAAAAATTACCAACTTTAAGAAATTGATGATTTTGTAGGTTTTTTTTGTTCATCAAATAATTAATAAAATAATATTGAACAAGAAAACTACAATTTTTTTTATCGAAAATACGATTTTTTCATTCCGATAGTTATGTCCTTCTCTAGCGCGTGGTGCCGCCTATAGTGCTGTCTCGCTTAGATACACGGGACCACTAAAATGCGAAAAAATCATATAAAAAAAAATCAGCGCACTTTCGTTTTTGGGCACATTTTTTCTACAGGTCATTACGGATATTTTGACATTAGAAAATTAAAAATTGCCCTTTGTACAAAAATTTTCAAGATAAATGGAGCCAAGCCTCCTATATTGACTGGACTATACCACAGGAATAAAAAATATATTCTGTTACCACAACTGATCTGAGATCTATGCTTGCAACAGTCTTTATGTCTATTGTGCCTACAGAACAGACAAGTTAATGCTGTAAATTCAGCTTGCATGTTTAAGA